GCTAAGAGTGTACAGGACGCGTGCGCAGTTTATGCTCGAAAGCACTGACCTGGTTCAACCGGTCTTAACTCGTAATATCGCTTATTTATTCTGTACAGTGGTCGAATAATATGCCGGTCATTCATCATCTATATCAATGTATGATTATTACATTTGTTAAGCATTTATTATTACTAAGTATATATGTCACAAGATACGTATATTCAAATTAACCGAAAAGAGGAATTCTATTCAATTATTTGTTTTTATTTTATGATAAGTTTATTACGTTATTATTCTCTAAATTTTGTTATCATATTGTTCTCCAAATTAATTTTCAAAATTGACATATTCAAAGTTTTAAACTGAGACGACGTTTCAAAAACTCATTCTTTTACGTATACAACGATATAATTAAATTACGATATAATTAATTTAAAATTTCAAAACTTAACCGAGAGAGAGAGAGAGAGAGAGAGAGAGAGAGTTACAGGATATATAAATGTATATATAATAATCTAAATAATATTACATATAAAAATACAAAAAAATTATAACACACAAGAAGATACAATCAATCTGGAATTTCGAATCAGGTATCTCAAAGAGAGCGGTCAACATCTTTAAGAATTCAGAAATTCAGAGATTGAAAAATTCAAAGATCTAAAATTGGAATGTTTATTTGAGCAATATAAGTCCCTCTCTTCGCATTCGCAAAGTCGCCATGGATGGAACTTAGTAAACAACATCGCAACGTGCTAACGAGCAAATAGGGAACCGCCTGCAGCTGCAGCGGGCTGTGCAACGTGGATGTACCCAGGTGTATCCCTTAACGAAGTATCGTCGAGAACCGCTGCCGTTGCTGACGATTCCTCTGCGAATTTTTGATTTACTGAAACTCATCACACTCGAAGGGTTCTAAAGTCATGGAATTCCAAGTAATCAATAAGAAAATAACGCTACACAAATATTTAACGAAATTCTTCATTTTATGACAATGTTTCTTCAATGTGCCTATATACTGAAACGTTTTTAAATATATATTCAATATATGTTAAATATCTTTTAAAAATTTTTTAAATTTTTTGAATTTTTTCTTTCCTTTTTTACATATTTGTCCTTTGATTTATTTATGCATGAAAAATTAAATACACAGATAATCTACAAAAATAATTTTTTTTACTAAAATTCATGAACTCAGGTATATTCTTTAAGAAATCTGTTGGGCTTTACCATCTCAAAAAACTGTTTTTTCTTAATTTTTATTAAATTAATTTAATTAAGGGTTTAAAGATTTGCTCTTATATGTAGTTTACTTAGTTTTTTGTTCTATCCGAATTTGTTTATTTTAAAAATTATAATATAGCCAAACACTGCAAATCCGAAAGTCTTTTTTAAATATTCCAAAGGATCTAACACGAGACCGCAAATGTGCGAAGAAGCTTCTACAATGAAACAAAAAGGTATATAGGAATTCCGTAAAACGTGACAAACGATGATAAGGATTTTGCATGAAAGAGTCTGTGAACGTGCAAAACGACGAGAAGAATTTTGTGAGCATGCAAAGTAGCGACGAACGAACATACAATGAGGTAAAGAACGTTCTACGAACGAGAAAAGCATTCCAGCAATGAAAGAGTAACATTCTCGCGACTCTGCTCTGCTCTGTATAATTTTTAACATAATAAATAGACTGAGAGAGAATATTTGAAAAAGCGTATCGAATTAAAAATTTGTGTCCTGATTTTCTTTAAAAGAAGATTCGAGCAATCCAACTGATACAAGATGATACGATAGGATTCTACGATCCTGCAAATCAGTGAAGCAAAATTTACGAGTGAATAGTGAGATGGATTGTAAGAAGACGAAAAGCAATGAGGACGAGTCTATATGAGCGGGAAAAGCGTGAACAAAAAAAGTTCCTTACCAGTGGACAAAACGGACGCAAGGATTCTGTGAACGCGTAGAGCGATAAAGGAGTTTCTAGGAATAAAACGATGAAATGAAATTTTGCGAGTGCAAAAAATATCAAAAACATGATTTACACACGAATAAAACAAAAAAGAATGAGAGGAACAACGAGAAGAATACCACTAATGCTAAAAACATCGTTGAAAGTTTCACTAATGGAAGAGAAATATTGGCAACAAATGATAAGGACGAAATGCAAGACGCATTCTAGTCATTTGAGAGAGACATGAAAAATTACAAGCAATATTATAAACTAGAAGAAATAAGAATATATATAAAAATTACAAAAATTTTTGAAAAATATGCAAAAATAAGTATTCATTAATACTAGATAGATAATTGAGAATCACCATTAAATAATTATTAATTAAATTAATAAAAAAAATATCTTACAAGGAGAATTTGAATATCCTATGAAAAAAATTGTGTTTAATTAATAAAGAGACGGAATGAATCCTAATAAAGTATTTTTTTTGAATGAAAGAGGATGATCATATAAATAAGGAAAATATAAAAGATAATTCTGTATTTATCAAGAAGTACATTCGAATATATTTTTTCCCTATTTATTATTCCCCTTGGAAGTCGCGGATGGTGATAAACGACTCGAATCATAACTCAGAACATGTTCATAAACTAGGACAACAGCAGCGAGTATCTCTACAACTATGTGCTTCCATATTACAAATGAAGAAAAAGTGTGTCCATCACAATGGGTGCTAGATGCGAAGGGATTAGGAATCTCAGGAATTATCGGAAAATGTTACAGAAGAATTTTCAACTGATAAAATCTAGCGAGAAGAGATTTCTGATTGGATTTGAAATACATATGCGAAACAATAAAAAAATGCGAACTCATTCTTAAAAGCATTATTTCTGAGATTCTAAACAGATAAAGAAATAGAACGAGATGTCTGAAAAAGCAATCGTAAAATAACTCAAGAGAATGAAACAAGGCTGAAAAATTTAGCGAGCGAGAAACTAGAGCATTCGCGCGAATATCAATCTTTTCGTGAAGAAACGCGAACTTATCGAGAAAGAAAGAAGGGGCCAAAGGGCTCGTCCCTTCGGCTGTTCGGCCTTGCCAAGAGGGTGATGCACTCTAGGGGGGTGCAAGCCGAGGACCGACCGTCGGGTGTCACGAGGTCACGTGAAAATAGGTCACCGAGAGGCGTCCTCTCCGCTAAAAGAAGATTTCCACGACGACAGGTTCCTTTGTTCGCAATTTAAATAGGCAGGAATTTCCACGAGAATTTCCTCCCGGCTGCGGGAATGGATCCGCGGGGTGGATGCTGCATGCGCGCGAGAAAGGAGAGAAGGAGCTACCGGAAGAACATACATACCTCTCTTGCCATTACGTCATAGCCCTGCAGGTAAGGAACCGTCCCAGCAGCAAGCGCGCGGTTTTATTCCGAAGGAACGACCACCAAGGCGAGGAAGAAGAAGGCTGTACGTCGCATTATATATCGGTGGATGCTGCTCTCTGGTCGCGCTGCTGTCCGCCCAACCTGCTCGCGCGTACACCCTCGCAAGGTGTCTCTCTCTCTCTCTTTCTCTCTCTCTCTCCCTTGCACCGTCTCTGCCTCTCTTTCTCTTTCCGTCTTTCTCTTCCTCCTCTGTCTCTCGAGCGCGAGGACAAAACGCGCTGCGACACCGTGTCTGGCTGGCTGCACTCTGGCTGGACCCACTGATCGAACAGCAACGGACTGTATCTACTGACGGCTGGCTGGCTTCACTGGCTGTCGATGATCGTGCTGTCTTTCCTTCCTCACGCAGCTGCTTCTCACCGAGACGCTGTCGCTGTCTTTGTTGAACCCGCGGCGCCGCGCCTCGCTCCGTCCCGCTCGCTCGCACGCACGTATGCGAGGTAGACGAGAGCGAGGAGCGCACAACACTCGCCGTTATATCCCCCGCGATTAAAGCACAGCCACCCCCGGCCGGCCACCCCTGTGCTGCCGTGCCGCCAGGAGAAACGGAGGAGAAAGAGGGAGAGAGAGAGAGAGTGAGAGAGAGGGCGAGCGGAACGGAGGAGCGCGTGACGAGCAGGGGTTGCGGCGACGTACGTACGTTCGTACGTCCGTTCGTCGACGTGGACGTACCTGGCCCCGACGACCGTGCGATTAACCGACCGTACGTTTAAGATTTCACTGGCGCATACGACGGGGGCCCTCGTCGCGAATTGTAACACTAGCTTCCTCCCAGCGGTTACTGCGGCGACTCCTAGTTTTAGGATCGATTCTCCTACAGTACGTACCGCCGCGAGGGGTCGGAAGGGCCGCTCTGCACGTATCTTCTCCCCGTGCGTCCCAGTCACCCGCTTCGCCAACCCCGCCGCCGCCCGAAACCCCTAGGAAACCTCGCCCCGCGAGCGCCACCGACAGCCAGCATCCACGACTACTATGTGGGAAATGCCATCCTCGCGTCCATCCGCCGGGAGGGTGCAACGAGGGTGATCTTGAGAGAAGATGTCTCGGAGGGTAAAATCAATGCAGTTTTGTGGACAATGCTGTTATTAGAATTTTTTCTCAGGATTACCCGAAGAACAAGATTTTTCTTTTGACCGAGAGCTGAAATAAAAGGTAGCAGATGGAAAATAGACAATCCCATCGTGTATGTTCAAAAAGCTGAGTCCTATATGAGAAGATTCCTGAAAATGTGCAAACTACAATTATATATATTTCAGAATGTACATTAAAAAACAAAAAGACAAATTCTTCATTTAAAATTGCGCCCTTTGAAGAGAATAATGCAAAAAGATTCTCTTGCTATGTGAATATCATAAATAATATAAATAATATATTTTGACCAAATAGAAAAGGATAATTATAAAAAAGGTGTTTCCTTCGTTACAATTTAATTAACTTATGCACATGCACTGTAAAGTGCTTTTCCGACTGTATCACCACCCCTCTTTGTAACACGTGCATTGCCATAGCGATCGCCAATAAATAGAAGCGTCTGCGCCTTGCGCCCCTCAATGCATGTACGAAAGTTTGTCGACTAGCTTAGCTTCAACAACACACGTGTTTTTTTTTTCTATAAAAGTAGATATGTCAAACGTAGAAGAGAAGAATTTTTGCGAAAAGAAACATGATTTCAATCAGAATTTGATCGAGCCGCCTAACTCGTTCGAACAATTGTGCAACATGATAAACCAACTGGAAAAAGATAGCAGTATTGAAATTACGGAATACAATCGAATTGATTTATTGGCTGCTGACATAAAACACGATGTCAATCTAGAGCCAGCATTACACAAGTATCTGGAACATGTAAGCAAAAGTTTTATTTGTCACAATTCGTTAATTTTTAAAATAAAGATTGACTTATATTTCATATAATTGCATTACATTATTATTATACTAAATGTAACAATTTTATTAATGTTGTAAATCAAATATGATCAAGCCCAGATTGAACCGGAAAAAGATGTCACCGCAAATAAATGTGATTCAGTTGCAACGACTTACGAAGACATAATGTCTTTCCTAGAAAATATTGAAAATGGTATTAAAAGTTAGAAGTTGGTATTAGAAGATTAAATGTTTTTCTTTCTTTTTCTTCCTTTCTAATTGTATTTAAATTCGCATTTTAAAATTTTATTTATCTCGTTATAATAAACAATTTTTCAACAATATTATAGATGTGCAAGCGAATAACGTCATTAAGGAAAATGCAACAACTATAATCTCGTCGTGTCAAAATCCTAGGTGACAATATTAATAATTAATTGACTGGCATAGATATATTATATACGGGAAAAGAATTTTGCATATATAAAAAATGTTGTTTCTTTCGGCAGAAATGACATACAAAACAGCCGGATTTTCGACTGTCAGCAGGATGATTTAGAAACCGCGAGATTGCAAATCGAGGAAAAGAACGCGACAATAGAATGTTTGAAAAATCAATTAAAATCCGAACGGAAAGCAGCATGCGACAAAATGATGACACAAAAACGGTGCAACGCTACCAAGATAAAAGAGCTGGAGAATAAGTACAGGATCATCGTGAAACGTCATCAGAAGTTTATCGAACAGCTGATCGCCGAAAAGACGGATCTCGCGCAAAAATGTGACTCTCTGGCACAACAGATAAAAAATACAGAACAGAAAATTCAGCGAGATTTGAAAGTAATTAGCGAAAGACACGCCGTTGAGCTGCAACGTGCGAAAGAAAATATAGTTGCGTCCGAAAAAATCCGGCGCGAGCGATGGTTGGAGATGAAAACTTCAAAAATTAAGGTTGTCATTAATTTACATTGATTATTATTAACAAATCTAATTCAAGAACTTGTTTTAGCTTTTCTATAAAATGATAATTGAAAATAATAATTTATTGTAGAAGAATCTCAATTCCTTTGTGAAAGAGGAACGATATTAAATAGCTTATATCTTTGAATTATAATAATGATAAAAATGTTGTGCATAACATAATAATTACACAGTTTGTGATAAATAACAGAAATTATTAATATCACAGGAAATGACAGTGAAAGGATTAGAACCAGAGCTGCATAACATGATGGAACAACATCAACGAGAAATACAGGAATTGAGACGCGCGCATATAAAAGAATTACAAGACACAGAATTGCGTGCGATGCGTAGATCAAATCAACAATTAGAGCAATTGCGAATCGAATTAACAGACAATCATGAGAAAATGTTGGCCAAGGAAAAAGATATACTAACGACAAGGCGAGACATTAATTCATGCATGAATTTATTTTAATATATTTTTAATTAAGTATTATATAAATTATAACAAAATTTTGCATTTAATTAGATATAAGGAAAAACTGGAAGAGCAAGAAGCACACTATCAGGCCCAACAAAAAACATTTACGGAGCATTTCGAAAGAGAAAAGTCTATACTTATTGCAGAGCAAAAGAAACGCGACCAGGAAACAAGCGTGATGATACAACAAACGCAGTTGCATTTTCAGGTTTGTTTTAGAATAAAATTATTCTCTTATTATTGACAAGACGCAAATTGTATGGTAGACTTTTCTTTGCAGAAAGAAACAGAAAGATTGAAAGAGCAACAAGAAATTGCTAAGAGAAATTTGGAGGAATCCCTGAGGAATAAATGGCTCGCATGGGCAGATAATTATAAAAAACAACAAAGCGCAAATTTGATCAAGGCAGAGACTGCAATTCGTAGTGATTGTCAAAAGGAAAGAGACAAGCAGATAGAAATCGCTATAGCTAGATTGGAAAAAGAATCTCGTGAGATGCGAGCTAAGTTGCAGCAAAGTTTCGATAATAAATTGGAGTAAGTTTAATGATATAACTTTTGTATATGAAAATACACATACATAATTATAAGAATTTTGTGCCAAAATAATTTTTAGATTAATGAAAGAAGATTACGATACGAAATTGCAATCTGCAACTAAAAGCGAAAGCATTCATAAAAATAAATTATTATTATTAGAAGAAAGATTTAAGTGTACAGAAATCCAATTTGAGAAAACAGAAAATAGATTGAAGGAATGCATGTCCAATTTAAATGATATGAATGAGGTAAATTTTTTATAAATGTAAACACATTTTAAAACATAAACATATAAATTGTGATCATATAACTATAATTTCTTTAATTTCTTTATTTGTAATTTATAGACAATCGTGAAATTGACCACAGAAAAAGATAATGCAAAAGAGTTAGCAAAGCAAGAAATTGAAACAGAAAAAAGAGAATTGGAAGACAAGATTGCATCGCTCTATCAAGAAATAATTCAGAATAATGCTAATAGAGATCAATTTATGGCACAATTGCAGAGCAGGTTAAAATTTAATATTCAACAGTAAAATATTAAAAAAATTAAACATATGCGTCGTTTAAAAATTAGTACACTCTAATATATAGCACATTCATTAAAATATTTTTTTGTTTCAGGATAAAATTGATAATTACTCAAAAAGCTTTAACTATAAAAAATCTCAACAAAAAACTCCATGATACTAACTCAAGGTGTGAACACTTGGAAAAATTGTTAGATCAGCAGAGAAAAGAATATATTTTAAAAACTTTATAAATTTTATTTATGTAAAAATGTGTGCATATATACGTTATTTGTAAGATGAATTAATATTTTTACTATATATCTATACACAACAAAAATAGCTTTCACTGTAAAATGCAAATTGTGTATGTTTTTCCGTAAACATGAAAAAAATTATATGCTATATAAAATACAATATTAGATAAGTATAAAAAAAAATCATCAAACGAATTAATAATATATGTGTAAATGTAATTATATAAAAATAGATTTATACTTTACATTATATATAGATTATAGAAGAAAAGATTAAGTAACAGACAAATATATAAAATCAAAATTATTTATACATAATTTCACATATAAAATTTATAATGTAAAAATTAAACATACTTTCATCAATGCATTTGTGCATATTCTATTTATCAAATGTGACAGTAATTTAAACATATTATATGTGCACATATATATAACATACAATCATATATATATAATTTATTAAAATGTAATCTTTTTACAAATCTGATCATTAATCTCATCGGTAATGTTTTTATTTGCGCTAAAAAATGATCATATAAGAAAAAATCACACTTTTTTTACAATTTGCACAACATCTTCGTCACAAAGAAGATGATCCTTCCCCACTTTTTGTGGTTGGTGTTTCACTGATGAGCCCCATACCAAAGCACTGCAATATGACGAATTAGTTACAATATCTATGAAAAAATTTATACAAAAGCTAAAAATACAAAAAATTATATACATACTATTTAAATTCTTTTGCAATCGATCTGTGTAGTTTATTACAAAAGTCTTCAACTGTTCGCCTTTCAGTATTTAATACTACAGGTGCATTATAGTCAGGGAGTTGTCCTTTAGGTTTGGTATAACTGTTATAAAAATTCAAATTAATCTTAAACGTTAATAAACTTACATAAATTATATAATAGTTATATATAAATTAAGTTATAAAATTAAATAAACTTACATTCTAACGAGTTGCAAATAATCCCACATCTTCTCTAGCAAATCATCAAAGTTCCATTTGTGATGGGCTGAGATTGGTACACAATGTGGAATTTTATAAATAACATCCAATTCTTCTATACTTATTTGATCTGTTCAAAAATTCCCATTCATAAATATCATTTTTTTTTATATGAACGATATAGATCACATAGTTATCACATAGTTATCATAGTTATTGAAATTACCTATTTTATTTAAGAGATAAATGCAAGGAACATAAACACGATTCCCTTCTATAACGTCGATCAGATCGTCAGAGGTAGCATCGTACCTTAATGTAATATCTGCGTTGCTGATTTTGTATTCTGACAAAATCATTCTCACTGTATCATAATCGAGTTCGGATTGTGGACACTGAACCAAACACAATAGTATTATATATCTTATAGTATTTTTTGCCCTATATATTTTATTTATATTAATCGATTATTCTCTCAACTTTTATTTTCTTACCATGGTTTGTAGATTGATACCACCTTTGTCCTTCTTCTTAAAAGTTATATTTGGTGGTTGTTTGTTCAATCGCAAACCAAAACCTTCCAATTCATGCTCAATTAATCGTTTATGCCCAAGTGGTTTGAGGACATCCAAAACAATGAAGATTAAGCTGCATGTTCGTGCTACAGCAATGACTTGTCGTCCACGTCCTTTACCATCCTTTGCACCTTCTATAATACCTGGAAGATCTAACAGCTGCAAGATGCATTCTGTTACAATCTTAACTTGATTTTATTTCTGTATACAAATGATTCTAACTCTTAATTCTAAGTAAGAAATATACAAAATAACAAATATGTTAATCCCAAAAATATTTATAAAAATTCATACAGAACATAAAACCAAATATTCCTTGACAATAATTCAGGCTAGATTTTGAATTACCTGTATTTTTGCTCCTTTATATTTTATACAACCAGGAACAGTTGTAAGTGTTGTAAATTCATATTCAGCTACCTCAGAATAGACACCAGCTAGTGTACTCAATAGTGTGGATTTTCCAACAGATGGAAAGCCTATAAAAATTTAATCCTTATATGAATCTTTATAAATCTTTATAAAATCATATAGGATGAAATCATATAAGGAAATCATATAAGATGAAATGTAAAATATTGTCATATGTAATTTATAAATGTTTATACTTCTCCAAGATGTAAATTATATGGAATATGAATAAAAAGACTGTCAAAAATTGATATATTATAGTACAGACTGCCAGACTGACATTACGTTTTATAATGCAATTATTATACGGATTATAAAATATCGACGCAATTACGAGAAACTCACCGACAAAACCAATACGAGCATCACCGGTCTTGGCAACCTCGAAACCCTGTTCGCCACCTCCACCGCCACCCTTTGGAGTAATTAGTTCGCGTCTGAGCTTGGCTAGCTTCGCTTTCAGCAGACCCAAGTGCCCAGAAGTCGCCTTGTTCTTCTGGGTACGGGCCATCTGAAAGAGAAAATTATTGTGAATGAGATAACATATAGATAGATTGCGAAAAATTCGTTGTGATTTTCAAAATAGAAGGTTACCTCGGCCTCGATGGAGGCAATTTTTTCCAGAATCGTGCTCATTTTTGAATCTGCAAAGAATCGTGGAAAATAGCTTCAAGCTTAAAAACAAATCATCCAGCTAAGGGAACCTGTCACATTATTAGTAGAATCACAAAATCATCGAAATAATAAAGCGACCGGGCACGTTACACGTGCACACATGCATATGTTAATTCTGCCAACACAGCCATAGATCATATGAAATTTCTGAAATCTCTAGATGAGAAACCGAGTAGGTAAAATTGGAACACTAAGAAGACACTAGACACAATATCACGTAATTGGCTGCGATCAGGAAAACACTAAAAATGCTTTGAAGCATTTGACCAATCAGATTAAAGAAATCTTTATTCCTTTTATCTCTATTCCTTTTTCCATTTAACAACTAATCATGTGACATTGTTTCTATGTATGATTCTTGGAAGCTTCCATTGATATACGATAAATCAATGGAATCAGATGCTGAATGACAGTATCTGAAGTTATTTCTCAGAGTTTTAGAAAACTTAAAAAAATTTTTTTTATTGAATTTATATAATATTATATTTAAAATTGTTTTATTAAAAAATTTTAAGATTTCAAATTACATAAATGTATAAGGAACACATACTTATAGAGAAATTTATTTATTAAATGCATTTTTACTAATTTTTATACAAATCTGAATAAGCATGTACAAAATCGTTTGAATAAATTTTCATATGATTTCATTCATAAATTCCACCCGTATAAAACGAACCTGAAGTCAAAGTCTAATCGGTCTCGACGCCAGCGCGCCACGTGACCGCGCACCAAGTCGATCGTCAACGCCAACCCTTTCGTGCACCCCATGTAAGCGAATGATTTTAGTGTGGTGTATGAACGATAAGTTACGATAAGCGTGAGGATCACGCTAGTTTCCTATTTTACGATTCCTACGAGACTGAATAGAGCATATAAAACGCGAAATAAAGAGAGAGGATGGCGCTGAGACGGCTGTGAGAATCATCAATTGCGAAGCGATTGAGGAAAAGGAGACGAGGAAAAAAGAAAGAAGAATGCGCGTTGTAATATCAATCTCCCCGGTCGCATGCTGGTAAGCGCGACACTCGATCAGTATCATTTCACGCGATGCAATCCATCTATTGGACCGGACGGCTGCTGTCGCGTGCACTCTGGAACGGCATCGCGAGCTACAGCACCTCGTGCAGCTCCGATCAGCAACCGAACGCGGTCGTCGCGAGCAGCAGCAGGCGCCGCGAAGCCTCGCTCATCTCCGCCGTGTGCGGCTTCCCGAAGGAACTTGTCCGAAGTCGAATACGCAAGGGTCAATTCGGCGACGACGCCTGGTTCACCGCCAAATTCAGGACGGCCGAAGTTATAGGTGAGGCAAGAGAAACGTGACTTTTCTGGCGATTACATCCTCTCTGACTCGCAGTAAAAGTTTGTCTTTTCTTTTCATGTCTTATTATATTTTCCTTTGACGTTTATCATTATATTTTCTTTTGACATTTATCCTGATGCTTAATTATCTTGACGTTTTCTCTCTTTTCTCCTTTGAATCTGGTGTACTTATTTCAAATACAAAAAATGCAACGCTGCTGAAAGGATCTTCCTAGTCTATTTTTCTCAGCTAGCTTCTATACTTTTGTATAAATGTTCTCTTCTTCTTCCTACTTTCCCTCATCTTGATTATATTGCTTCATTTTGATTGCAAAAAATTAAATATAATTTATCTAAAAAAATAGACTTTTACTTTGGTATTGATGCAACAAGAAATGAGTCACTATTGGAGACAATGCACAATTTTTAAATTGCTAAATTATTCACAGGCTTTTAAATTTAAATTCTAAATATATTCATCAGAAAAATCAAACAGATCTGTTTACTATAGTAAAAAAAAAATAAGTATAACATATAGCTTTCTTTGGAAAAAGAGAAAGAAGAGACAATTTTGGAAACAAAGAGAAAAAATACAAAAAAGTACAAAAAGCAGTTAAAAAAAGTAAAATTTAGAGTTCAATGTAAAACAAAATTTAAATTATATTTTTTAAAATAAATTTTAAATTAAAGTCATATTCTCTTTTTTTTGTTTCATGTAATTATTTATATTAATGTTACTTATATTATTCATGTAATTATAGATGGTTATATTCTCTCTTCTTTCAATTGTTTTATTATGAAAATATAAAATTTTTTGACTAGCATTATATAGATAATATTACATAAAGTGTTAAAGATAATATTACATACATTTGCTAATTAGTATGGTGCTAATTAGTTTAAATTATAATTTTCCAGGTGTAGCTGATGGTGTTGGAGGATGGCGACACTATGGAATTGATCCAGGAGAGTTTTCGAATTTCTTGATGAGAACTTGTGAGAGGCTAGTCTCTATGGGTAAATTCAGACCTACAGAACCAGCCGGCTTATTAGCACGTAGTTATTACGAATTATTAGAAAATAAACAACCAATATTAGGTAAGCAAACAAATAAATTTAAAAAATGTCAAAATTGATTTATGACAATATATAACTAGTATTGATTTACAATATATAATATTTCTTCGAGATTAATTTCAGATTGATAATATCTTTTTTAGGTAGCAGCACAGCATGTGTTATAGTTCTCAATAAAGAGACAAGCAGCATTTATGCAGCTAATATAGGAGATAGCGGCTTTGTAGTCGTGCGAAGGGGAGAAGTGGTGCATCGCTCTTCGGAGCAACAACATTATTTCAACACTCCCTTCCAATTGTCACTTCCACCTCCAGGACACTCTAATATGGTACTTCGCGATAGGTACATCATTTTTTATCTGTTATATATTAGCTACATATTTAACCGCATGCAATAAGATTTATATGATATCATGATTACCATAAAGAAGTTATAAATAATAATCTTTTCTTCTTTTTTTTAGTCCAGAATCTGCTGACACTTCGAGTTTCGGTGTCGAGGATGGCGACGTGATTCTCTTAGCAACCGACGGGGTATTCGACAATGTGCCTGATCAGTTGTTAGTCACCGAGATGCAGAAAATCGAAGGCGAGAGGGATCCGACAAAAATACAATGCGTCGCTAACACGATAGCATGGATGGCGCGTCGTTTGGCTTTTGACGACGCCTTCATGTCTCCGTTTGCTCAAAGTGCTCGAGAAAATGGGATTGATGCAATAGGTATGTAAGAGAAAATTTTATTAATTATTTTATATATCTCGTTTCAAGCAGCTTTGATATAAACAAAGAAATTGCTTTATAAGAACATCCTAAAAAATTAAATTTTTAATATGTTGCAATATTTTATTCCCTTTTTCTTGTAAGAATTTTGAATCTTAATTGCAGTTTCTTTTTTATTTTATTGATTATATTAGAATTTCGATCTACTAATGTGAATAAATTAATAAATGCAACGTTTAAATTAAGAATGCTTGATGATAGAAAAAGTGTGCAAAAATAGATTTCACAATTTTTAGGTGGTAAACCGGACGATATTACGGTGCTTTTAGCAACGGTGGCGATATGATAAAACAATAAGCAACAAGTGTACAATAGAGCCCTGATGATCATTGTATTATAGTCCATGTCATTGCGTATATGTATTTAGTTATACATCATTATATTAATCCTACACACATATATATGTACATACATACATATATATATGTATGTATGTGTATGTATGTATGTATATATTTGTATATATAATCCTAATCATTTATTATTTAAATCGAAATAAATGATTTTATAAAATCATTTCTTATTCTCTATTCATTATTATTCATTTCTTTACAACTCTTTAATAATGAATAACGTACTCTTTGGCGATTATGGATGCATTTGTCGATTCACCCTTTCAGTACTCTTATGTGTATATTTATTTACAATAAATTTGTCACTTTTTTTTCATAAACTATTGCAAAAAAAATGTTTAAGAATTAAACAAATCAAGATTGGTGAGAAAACATCTTATGAACTTTGTATATTTAATGAGATACTGAAAGAGTTAATACAAATGCATTTTAACAAGAAATGATTAAAGATGTAATTGTCATTAATCACATCGATTGTCGGAATGACAATATATTAATGTCTAATAAGCCAGGAATCCCAGGATTAATGATTAAAAAATTTTTAATCATAATATCAAAATTAGAAGTATATATTAATTATAAGTATTAAATATTTAGCAAGAATTTAATATAGATATGAAATTACATAAAATTAAGAATTAAGGAAATAAATCGTGCAAAGGGTAAACATCCTAGGATTCTGGAAGCCAAAAATATAAGAAAAGATAAATATAGGCAAATCTAAAAGAAATTAAAATTTTATAATGATTTAAATCTAGAATTTAAAAGAGATTAAAATATTTAAAGAATTTAAAGCACACTTGAGAAATCGCGTTAAAAATGTCTATTTCTCATAATTTGAATTCCCTCTTTCTTTGTTTAAATTAGTATATTGCAAAATAAATTCACATTAATATTTAGATAGAGACAATTTGCATTAAAAATTCACGTTTGTTTAGCTTAGAATACCATTGCGCATAACATTTACAAGGATCACAGAAAAAGTTATATCAAAGTTAGTTATTAATCACACATGGTAAAGTAATGTCTATTTTCAAAATAAAAAAGAATTTTAACTTACACAAAATTGTATTGTAATTTAAGAATTCACTCTTTTAAAGCCTTAAGATAGCCTCTTTTGCTTATCTTTTTCTTTCTCTTTTATTAAAGAATTCAAGAGAAAAATAATATGCAAAATTTGTTATAACATTTATTAATATTAAACAATAATTATAAACAAAAAAAAGAAAATACATTACTTTTCCATTATTCCCACAGTGAAATAAAGAAGCAATAGTTATTAACTATAATCAATGCAAGTCTTCAATGTATTCACATGGTACATAATATACATGTATAAACAAAGTGTGGGAAGTGTGTATATATTATTTCTTTAGATTATATTTAACGATTTGTACTTTGTAGATGTTGCCTAGATTACACTTCACTATTAATAAATATAAATAAATGCTTCAATACACTTTAAAATAGTCTCCCTTGCACAATGGCATTTTTTCTTTCTCTCTTTTTTTTCCATTGTTACTTGCAAAACTATGAATACGATGAATGTATCACAAAATTACCATCAATCGCACATATCGTTCTTACAAAAATGACGCTCTCGATATAGTAAATCTAATTAATTCGCGAAAAATTACAACTTCCGTGCATAAAACCGGAAGTATATATATTCGCGATAGATAGATTTAACCCTCGGAATGCCAATTTAATTGCACTTGCGTGCATATGAAACACTATTTCTATTGAATTGCAGAATTCAGATATAAATCTGCAAAAATTTTAATACTCATTACTATTACAATATGTTAGGATGAAATAAGCTACCGTACACGACATTAGAATCATATATAAACAGTCTGTACACATTGTATATATCTACATAATAACAATTAAAATTACTAATTTTTACAGTTGGATTCACACATTTCAAATTAGTTATAGAATAATCTTCTGAGATTAAAAAATAATATAATTTTATTTATATATTTTAAATAAATCAAGTTAATTTATTTTTTGCAATAACGCTAGAAGCGCAAAGTCTGGCTTCCAAAGAGTTAATCGATAGAGGCCGGATTTTGTATGCAAAAACGAATATGTCGAAGAACAATGCAGAACATGTCTGTAAATATGTATGTACAAAATTAAGAAAATAATAACTCCCTGACGATAAACGTCTTACATATCTTCAGCTCTTGTTCATATATAGAATGTATACAAGAATTTGTATGCCTTTTCTTATTAAATTCCTTGAAAAGCTATTAATTTTCATAATTTAATTATAGACAAGATTATCAATTTTCATCAAACAATTTCTAAATTTAAAAAAATTTCTCTAATATATATATCTTATATATTATTCTTTACATTCTATATACATCTTGGCGCATATTCTGAGTTTTTCTTATATTAATAAAAGTGGCTTGTGTAGCCAATCAGAAGACTTATATAAGCCATTTTAAAAGGCACTTTTATTGATAAAAGAATTCAGAATATAGGCTCTTGTATATTATTCTTGTCATATTCTTGTCATATGTGTGTGTGTGTGTGTGTCTTTGCATACACAAATCCAAATATCAAGTTATTAATAATTCTAAAGATGAAGGAACAACGATGGGGACACGCGCTTCCGCAATGTTCTCGAATAATTTGACATAAGAAACAACATTAGGAAGAAAACTATTGAATGTTTTGATCACTGCACATTGGCTTCCTGCCCCCAATTGAAGCCACCTGGCCTGTCTTCCGGCGGCGGCATGTAATCCGGATCTTCAGGATGTGCGTCGAACAAAGTCTTACTATGGAGAAGGAAAGAAAGATTATATATTATCTTTTCACCAATAATTTCTTATTTTTTACTTATTATTAATCAATTCTATGACATTTCTCAATAAGAAAAGTTTAAAAGATTAATGTTTTTATTAATTTTGCAAAGAGAAAGAGAGAGAGAGAGAGAATTTTAATTTATTTAATCACAAGAATTTTTATAATTTTAATTTTAATTTTGCATGACTGTGTAGCAGTATACTTACAGTATTTGTGGAGTTTTCAAAATCCGGAAACCGCCTCTTAATCGTGGGAATACATCCTCCGCAAAATAATAAGTATGTCCTACTGCCATTCCAACAAGATCGACCCATATTGTATTACCAAGCAATACAGAGAAACCTAACAGTACCCATGGTAGATATGGAGCCTATGAAATATAAAAATAATATCTATATCAATATAAATAATCATTAGACAAATCATTTATCTAATACAATAATGTATTATAATTAGTTTATATCTAACATAAATAACATGAAATAATGAATATAATAATGAAAGAATAAATGATAATACAATCTCAGTTAACTTTTAAAAAGTAGGACCTACTTGAAAATTTAAAAGTCCGAAGAAGTTCATCCTGACGAAAGGATTTCGTCGCGACCATACATATACCAACATTATAGTAAATGCATGCCCCAGAAATAGCAAATTCACGAAGAATGCAAAAGTCTGTAGATATTTAAGGAATATAATAATAATAAAAGACAAAAATATTGTCAACAATATAATCTTAATCTTTGAGTAGCAATATTACTAATTATAACAGATAATATATTTTCTCAAGGATACAATCATGCATATTCCGCCAAAAATGAACATCATTACAAAATCAGCTGTTCTCCTTCGAAAAGATCCTTCTTCCAACATACGGCAATATCGATATGTGAATATCATATTGAACAACAGATTGAATCCAATATTTCCAAAAAACAAGAATGTTGTTATTAACCGCCATATCTGTAATAATTCAAAGTGACATTTCTTAAAAAGCACTTTAAAATGAGTATTATATAATTATATAATTATATATGATTATATAATTCTAAACTACCAATAATTTTTAAAAGAAAGAAAGAACAATCAACAAGAACAAGATACAAGATACAAGAAAAATCACTATGCATTTTTTCTAGCAGTAATGACTTTTGGACTGTCTTATATAATGAAATCAAGTTTGCATAGTTATTTGCATATTTGTATTTTCATACCTGGTACTGTTCCACAATAAGAATAGGATTGAAATACAGTTGAAATGGGGATACCAAGTCCAATTGCTGAAATATTTGAAGTAATTAAGTTCAAGTATACTTAATTCACAAATATATTTCAAAGCGCTTTATTTACAATTAAGTTTAATATTCAATATTCAATATTAATATTCATACAATTGTTTACTATAAAATTTATTAATTTAACAAAAATTATTTGTAAACTAATAAATTTGTAATATTGTAAAAAATGTATTTATTTTTACAGAATTTTCATTAGTCATTATCTTTTTTTACATAATTAAAAAGATAGCAAAGGAGGGATTACACTGATATAAATTGTTATTAAATATATAAGGTGTATCACATGTAAGATTTAATGATCTCAAAGACAGAGATTTATAAATCTTACAAGTGCAGACACCTAAAACTGGAAGAAATGAAAGGTCTGAATAGGGGTTAAGAAGTGCCTCAAGAATTTAGAAATTTAGAAATTCAAAGAATTCTGAGTTGTGAAAATATATGCACAGAATAGAAGTCGTCCCGAGATAGAAATCGTCTAAGAAATCGCGATGACAACGAAAGATATGTAGAACGTACGCAATTAAAAAGAGAGAGACAGAGAGAAAAAAGAGAAAAAAAGGCGTAAATACCACGGCAAGGGTCGTGATGACACAGGCTGTGGTGTAAGCCCGCGTCACCACGGGCATCTGCATGTATTCATGCCATAATGCTTCGTAGGCCATTGGCATTGATTATCGGCGATCTTACGCCCGTATTCCTTCCTTGAGACCTCGCTGCACTCTCGCCGCTCCTTATCCTCTTTCCGCTTCACCATCGCATGTTGCACCAGCGTGGCGGTGTTATCTGCACATCGTATCACGAATTTGTTGTCCGCACGATTTTTGTACACGTAACACGTGAAATTGTCGCCGATTTGCCAAATCTTTGACACGTTGTCGCCAATTGCCGAGAAGTGATTTTTTCTCTCGCAAGTTGCCGATCTGTTCATTGATCATCTGTTCGCGAAGCAGCGAACTTCATCCGTCACCCTTGGATTGTTTACGATCGGACGCTGACCAGACTGAATTAGACGCTGAAAATTTGTAAAGTTGATTCTTTGCGCGATCGCTCCACGAGAGCGATATAAAGTCGGTTAATATCGCTGTGATTAACCGTTAATAAATAATCAAGAATGGTTCTCACCAAGGAATATCGCATTTGTATGCCGCTCACTACAGAAGAGGTAGTCTTTTCATGCGTTATTTAATTATTTAATTATGCCTCCGAGTAATAAAGTTATCTACTTATCTGAAAAAATATTATTACTATTATATATTTTCAGATATTTATCTATATTAATTCTTTTCTTGCAACATAATATTTTTAAAAACTTCTGTTTATATTAATCAATTTTATTTCAGTATCGTATTGGTCAATTATATATGATAGCCAGACATAGCCATGAACAATCTGATAATGATGAGGGAGTAGAAGTAGTAGAAAATACTGCCTGTGAAGATCCTGTTCATGGGAAAGGTCAATACACTGAAAAAAGGATTCATCTCTCCAGGTAAATTTTTTTTTATAATATATTGTAAAATATACATCTATATATGTATATATAGGCAGCATAGACTTATACATCATGGTTTCATCTTTGTTTTTTAAGATAATTACTATAATGTTTTATTGTTTTTTGTAGTAAACTCCCTTATTGGATACAGTCTATCCTACCACGAATATTTTACGTAACGGAAAAAGCATGGAATTATTATCCTTTCACTATCACAGGTATGCTATTTCATTTATATAGTACACTATCTTTTATAAAGTTTTATATTAGATGCTTTTCTAATAAATATTACTAATTTTATATAAAATTTCCTTGATGAAGATAATATATTCAAATACATTCAAATTTTATACTTTTCTCAATAAAAAAAATTGGATTTTCTTATTAACATTGTTCTTTTTCTTGCATATTTTCTTGATGACCGCAGAATATACTGTGAGTAATATTCAGTATAAGAATTCTTATAAAATTTCCTAAATTTCATTTTTAAATTTTTCTTTTTCAGTGTTCTTTTATACCAAAGTTTCATATAGCAATAAACACTCGGTATGAAGACAACAATGGTTCCACAGAGAATGTAAGTAACATATTGTATTTTTCTTATATTAAATATTTTGTTGTACTAATTAATATTTTATAATTATTATATAATGTTATTAGTAATAATAATAATTTTATTATTATTTTTAAATTGTAGTGCTTAGGTTTGTCACCTATTGAATTGATCCATCGCGAGGTTGATTTTGTGGACATTGCATATGATGAGATTTCTGCAAAACATTACAAAGAAGAAGAAGTAAGCTTACACAATATAAAATGACACACATTTAATTTTTTACAATTTATTCTAAATAAAATATTATTTTAATACTTGTAACAGGATCCGAAGTTTTTCCAATCAAAACGAACAGGACGCGGTCCTTTGGTTGAAGGGTGGAGAGATACGACACAACCCATAATGTGTTCGTATAAATTAGTTCACGCGTCATTTGAAGTCTGGGGCATGCAGACACGAGTTGAGGATTTCATACATAGAGTAAGTTTATCCAGTTAGCAAGCAAATATGCTTGCCTCACATTTTAATAATGTTATTTTCTTAATAATATCTAATATGAAGATAGTGATTATCGAGAAGATATTTAAATGCTACATATCATTGTATGTTTGATTCAACTTGCACACAAAATTAGGCTGAAACATTTTTAAAAATTTGATATTTACTATTCATTCATTTTTCATAATTTTAGTGTATAAGGGACATCCTGCTGCTGGGTCACAGACAAGCTTTTGCCTGGATCGACGAGTGGTACGACATGAACTTGGAGGATGTGCGGCAGTATGAGCAGAAAATGCAGGCCGAGACGAATGAAAAAGTCAGATTAAGGAATCAGCTCAACGAGAAGCAGCCCGGTACACCAACTTCGTCCGCGCCAACCACACCGACGGCAAAGTCGCCCACGCAATCGAATCGATCGTGGTTTTCTTGGTCGTAGCCACAAGATTAGCGCGACAGTTGATCTCGGGTGCTAAAGCAATTCTTTGTCGATTTAGTTAATATTCAAGTGATTTTCTCTATTTTTCACATTCAAGTATATCGACTATTCTGGAGAATGTGCAAATCGATAACAATGATATATTCTTTCAATGAATTCTATATTGATAATTTAATCAACAGTTTGATTACTTGCAACTTTAAAGCATTTTTTAAAAATATATATATTTCTTTAATAAAGTTTATGTTTTTATCACATTGATCTGTGGTTTTTCCACAAATAGAATATCAATATTTTTTTTTTATAAAAAAGAGATTTTTCATATAGGAGATTAGAAGATAATTAATTTATTAATAGTGATTTTAATAAATATATATAAAGATATAATTCATCTCTTTATATAGTTACATATATAAAAAGTAGTCAATAAAAATATATTAAAAGAATATATCTTTGTAATTGATTACAGCATTTCTAGGGATGTCTCATATACATATGAACAATTCTGTGTATGTAGGCTTGTCGTAAAACGATTTTTATTTCTGTTTCAATGTCAAGTGCAATCCGAAATGTCGCATACTAGTTAAATTGCACGATTCAAGTTCAGAAATAAAGGAACTGATCTAAGTTGATCATTTCAAAAATAGCGTACAGTCAAATTTTGAAATACTTGTTTTTTAGATATAATTAAGATATTATAATTTAGATTTCGAGGTTCCACATATTTAGACTTTCCACACAACTTATACATATAAATTACTTTTGTCTCATTTGTGTTTTACTCGTGAATTAGTAATAAATTAATTTTATCATTTAAATTATATTTTTTAAGTTATATAGCGTAATTTATTGAGAATAAATTAAATTTTTATCTGCAATTTATGTGTAGAAGCACTTAAAAATATATGTATTTGCAAATAATTCAAATTTGTTCAAATATGTCTATTTCTTCATATATCTATTTCTCCATATATCTCCACTATATTATGCATATAGTTATATATTTACATTATTTTTAGATCAATAATTATTTTTATTCTTCATTGGTCAGCATATATTTATCAATAAGTACATAATGTTTTAATTGAAATACAATTGAATCATTCAGTATTAATACAAATAAAATTGCAACAATATAGACACAATAATTTATACTCAAAAATAATTTGCATATTTGTTCCATTACTGCTTAATTAGGATTAACAAATATCGTATGTAATCTGCTGACGACCGGATGTTGTAACGGTGTAATGAGAACACGTGCCATTTCGCCAACATGACCTATCAGCAAAATTTCGATTGAATCATCAGCTGCTACTAAATCGCTAACATACTATTAAGTTAATAAAAAAATAGATTAAAATAATGAAGTATTCTACAAACTTATTATATTAATAAGATTAAAATATCAAAATTATTATTTTACAAAATTGTTCATAAAAATTAATATCTTACAAGCATTACAATGATCTGTAAGTCGAACAAGAGGATATAACAAAGAAAGTTCTTGCAATCTCATTAATTCCTCAGGTTCTTCTAACGAAGTCGAAGCTATCTAAAAATACATGATAAATGACATTGGATGTGTTCTTTTTCTCCTTACAATCTTGTTACCTTGTTAGTTCATCAAAATTTAAAACTAAAATAACCATGTAGTGCAATTTGTAGTAAAGTTGATACAAAACGAAAAAATTTTAATCGGCTTTTAACTGCTCTTCTCCAATAGAAATTTCTTACATTGGCATAACTTGTCGCGGAATTTAACATAGTTTCCGAATGAATGCCACGTTGCTCATTCCGATGGAGTTGCGTGGCGGCTTCCGTAATTAATTCGCTGAATCTAGCTGCTACTTCCTTCCATCTTATCAAATCACTAGGCTATAAAATAAAATTGGAATGAAATATAAGCAAAATATTTAAGAATGAGTTGTATTTAAATATATTTTTATCATATAAAGTTGAAGAAGAGCAAATTAATATATAATTAAAAATTAATATATGTGAAAGTATATATATATATATATATATATATATATATATATATATATGTATATATATTTTTTTTTCCTTTTAATTCTTAATTAAATTTAATTTAATGAAATAACGTCTCTCTTTTTGTTTGATATTAAGCAAATAAATATGATCACCGATAAATTAAAAAACACTGGCAAAAGAGCGATGGGCAAGGGAGATCCACGCAATTCAGAACATTCAGACGGCGGTCCTGATAAAGTCAAATATCTCAAAAGATCCAAAATATCAATCAAAAGCTCGCCATGACGACCACCGACATCCTGTCTAATGAGCCCTAAAGCATCCTGCGCGATAACTTGTGCTTCCACACCTGGATTATCAGCTGTTCATAAAATATTTATTTAAAACTTGTGTATTACATTTATAAAACATGTATCACAAAAAAATTATTAAAATATTTAACATTGAAAATTAATATGTTAATAAGAATCTATAAAAAGTCTATATAAAGAATCTATAAAAATTAAGTGGACAAAAAAGATTATCTACAAATTCTTGTTTTAACATTAAAGATATTTTTTAGATATTTAATCTTGATTAAAATTTTAATTAAGTATTTAATAAAGTTATCATGATATCATAATTGGCAAAACTTGAATTTTGCTGACGATATATTTATAAATGTTTGTCGAAGAATATTGCGTTTTTCACATTGTGATTTTAATAACAAATAAATTGCGATATAAGAAATAATTTCACCACTATTCTCTCTCTTTCTCTCTCTTGCATAATTTAAATGCATTCTTAATTTTTATTTTTTATTTATCATTATTTACTTACCGAGGATCAATTCTTGTACATGCTGCGGCATAATCGGTTTTTTTAGATGGCTGAGAAAAATCTGTAAAGCCGCTGCGCATTCCAAAGCCGCATTGTTTGACTCTTCAAAGTACGGTTTATAGCCCTTCTTTAAAGAATTAAGGATATATCGTCGAAGTTCACGACGTCCTGCCCGACGAAATAGCCCTTCCACTCTAGCATCTTTAATGAACAATTAAAAAAATATTAAGTTATACAAAATATATATATATAATAAATTTTTTGTACAACGCATAAAGTAAAGTCTTACTTTTCTTCAAAAAATGTATAAGTTCTCTCACTGCATCTAAAGACTTTTGCGATATTATGTCATCACCTGCGTCTTGTCTGAAAATTAAAAGAATACGGAAGTGAATAATGAGAAACATTAAACAAATAAGCAATTTTTTTAATGTTAACGGATGTATGTAAAAAGTTGGTAAATGATTTGATGCAAATCAAAAAACATTTTTGTTCTCAGCATCATGTGTCCTTGTTTCATCCTTCATATACGAGTTTATAAAGAGCTACAGTAACAATCCCCTTGTTCGAATCTTTTAAGTATGTCGAGACAAATTTTTCATCGCTATTTGTTATTTTATTTATCTGTGAGCGCGATCCTAGTTTGTGGATTGTCGCGAAGAATTCCTAGAGGTGCGTCCTGTCCCTCATGTAGTCAAGATTGTCCAGAAGCTTTGACTGTTCAGTTACCATGGTAAGAATAATTTAAATATAAGAGTTTTATATAAATAGGCATCCTTTTAAAGAATTTCAGAATTTAAATTTATAATATATATTAATTTAAAAATTCAATTATATCAGAATCGAAAGATTCATATAAAACATAACTCTTAAAACTCTTAAAATTTCATTTAATATCAGATATTAAAAGACTAGAAAATTTAAAAAAATGGTTTAAGAACTTATTTTTTAAGTTTAAAGAAAATTAAAAAATTTGCAAATGTTCCAGGTATCCAGAACAAGAATCAAATCTGCAGCCACGAGTCTTACAAAATTCTCCTGTTAATTCGCTTCAAAATTCTTTTCACTCCAGTTTGATAAAAGGAGGAATTTCCCAGGATATAACATACGACAATAATATTTTATCAAATCAAAATTCAGCGTCTCTCGGAAACTACAAGAGTTTCTCTCCACAAGAACCTGCGAGTGAAAATTTATTATTCAAAAACTCTCTTAATAAGTATCCAAAATTTATAGACAGACGGGAAATCTTTTCTCAGAACAAATCGGCGACTAGATATCCTCTTGCTCGCGTTCTTCCATTAAGGCAAATTTTCAAACCGGAAAACATTTTCAGAAATCCTCGTAATAAATATTCTAGCTCTTCATTAGAAGATAGAAGCTTCGAGAATAATATAAAAGACAAAAAAGAGCCTACAAATAAAATGTTCATTTATCGTGCCGATAGAGACACAGAGTCTTTAAATTCAAACAACGCTTCTTCTTCAAACGTCATCTGGCCACAGAAATTCAGCCCAAAGACTGAAAATACTTTTCGATTCCGCCCGGATCCAGCTTTTCGTATCTTCGATGGAAAAAGAAATGCAATTAGAAAATCTCTGAGTCCTGTTAATCAGCAGTATAATCTAACATATCCTCGAAAAAGATATAATTCCGTAGATTTCGTTCTGCCGGAACTTAAACGTGATTCTTACGTTCATCCTCTTAAAGATATTTGGAAGCCGATGAAAAACGATGAGTTCTCCGATAATTGGGACAACAAAATAGAATATTTATCACAGTCTTCAAATCTAGAACAGTTAAAACAAGCTGAGAATAATTTCTTAGAAATGTATCCTGCGAAAGAACAAGAAATTACTACCGAGGATAATAGGAAGCAAATCAATAAGTCTTATGTGTTCCCTCAAAATTTAGATACCTGGAAATTGACGGATAATGAGGAATCCTTCGATAATTGGGATTACATCGCATACAAAGATTCGCAGGAATCTGCAAAAATTAATCGATTGCAAGAAGCTGAAAATAATTGGCTACAAATGTTCCCCGCGATGGAAAAGAATATTAAACACTTTGTAAATGAGAAAGACAAAGATAAGGAATTCGCGGAGCAAGAAAATATGAATGAGGAATATTTTGAAGATGAGATTATACAAAATGCCCTTAAAGAAAGTGAACAAAGAAGATATAATCCTTATGCTTTTTCACAAAATATGAATTGGGAGACAACACAAGATAAAGAACTTTTCGATAACTTAGATTATACGCACAAAAATTTACAACAGACGGATCAATTAAAAATATATTCTGAAGAGAATAATGATAAGTTCTTTCATAATAAAGGAAACGAAAATATAATTCTTGAAACACAAACTGATGATGATCAAATTAATCCTGCACTCATGCTTAGTACCTATAATGCTTACATTCTTCCTCAATATTTAAATAATGCGAAATATCCTGTCGATTCCTTAGAAATGCAGAAAATACCAGAAGTTAAAAATAATATATTACATGTGAATTCTATGGAAGAAAGCGATGAGAACTTCTTTGTAAACGAAGATATTCAGAATAATGCGCCTATTCAAGATTTGCTTCTATCTAAGCACATTTTTGATATGAATAAATATGGCAGCCGTATTATAAATAAAGAAAATAAAGATAACACTCAAGTTTCGACGAGACTTGATCCTGATCTGTTAGATGATATTGAAGATCTTCCATTAGAACCAACCGAATCGACATCAATAGAATCTCTTGCAGAATTTTCTACATCCGAGCAATAATAATATAAAATTAGCATTATATGTAGTGTGCCACACTTTACGAGTTATCGATTTATTTAAAATTGTCATTAATATAATTGATACTTAATCGAGGACTTGTTGTATATGTTATGCTTGAAAAAAAATTTTATATGTATATTTCATATGTATATTATTTGTAATGAAACAGATTGTTTCAAACTTCATTATCATTCATCAAAATAAATAAAGAACCAAAGATTTGTGTGATCTTATTGCATTATCTCGTAAATTATTATCATTCTTCAAAAATATAGAATATATGTGTAAAAATTAATATAAATATAAAAAAATTAATACGCAATAAAAAATAATTTGCAATAGATGATTTCTTTTTCTCAGGCAATTATTTAAATATTTTATTCTATTATTTTATAAAAAGCTTTTGTTCAAAATTAGCTTTGAACGAATATTGCAACTTGTATCCTCTATATAATAATTACGCACAAAAATTTACAATAGATGGATCGATTGAAAATATATTCTAAAGAGAAGAATGATAAATCTTTCAGAATAAGAAAAAAATATCAAAATATAATTTTTGAAAGTAAAACACAAACTAGTGATGCTCAAATTAATCCCACACTCGTAATTAATATTTATAATGCTTACATGTTAATACTTAATTTTTCCTCAATATTTAAATATTTTAAATGATGCGAAATATCCTGTCGATTCCTTGGAGATGCAGAAAATGTCAAAAAAAGTTAAAAATAATGTATTACATGTAAATCCTATGGCAAAAAAATTCTTTGTAAACAAAGATATTATTCAGATATTATTTATTATTTACTTTTGTGACATGAATTTGTTTTGCTTTTATTGTAATTAATAAAAATATAATAAAAAATAAAATATATATGCTTTTGAACATTCGCATGAATGAATGAGTTATCTGCTGATCCACATAAATTTTTCTACATGCAAAAAGCGAATATGCTTCTTATTGTCTGTTAGATTCGTCAAACCTATGGAATTTGATATATAAGCGAAAAGAAGTGCGTACAAAGAAATCAGAACGATATATGTAATTTCGTTGCGACATGAATGGAAATGCAATTAAATCGATGAAGCAAGTTAATAATAATACGCAGCAAATTGTCGAGGTATTGTAATATACGTATTTACCCGTATTTATAAACAACTTTGCTTTGCAAAGAAAAATGCAGGAGATGTATGTATAATTAATAAATGTATAAAAATGTTATTGATCATGTAAATTAGGTACACACAATTTTATTACTTCCCTTCAATATTTTTATGTTTTAATTTCATAAATTCTATCTTAAATGTTCTCTTATATAAATGCTAGAAATCGCAAAAAGAATATTTCTTATTATATCAATAATTAATTACTTTCTGTAATTTTAAACGGACTATAATTGAATAATATAATAAAATATAATTTATAGAATAGCATAGTTTAATTCAACTAGAAAAATAATTATTAATAGTCACAGAGATAATAAGTAATTTTAATTTAAATAATTTTTAAATTAATATTTTTTCAAATTTTTGATTACCCAGGTATCTACAATTAAATTTAATAAAGAGACAAATAAATAACCACGCGCAATTCCGCGGTAACGCAATAATCAAGGAGCATATATTGATTAATCATGTGTTGAAATTTGCCGATGCATCGAATCGTTCGCATAATTTCGCAACGTGGGTGATTTCGTCGTCAACTCCGATTTCGTAGCTAGTCGCGGATTCCCTTAAAAAACCGACGCACTCGTCGTGCTTCATCAGTTCGGTTTCAACTCTGATTTCGACTTGCCAACATGCATTCAAAGAGTTGCTACGCGTTATTCCTGCTGGCGCTAGTCGCCTGTCAGGCTGCACCTTCACACAAGATAATCGAGAAGTCAAACAACGAAACAGAAGCCAAGCTTGCCAAAGAAGATCTCAAGTTAGAAAACACTGGTGCGGATAAAGATAGAGCAAAGAAGTCGACAACTTTCTGCGTGCAGGTCCATTCGGGAAAGGAAGAAATAGTTCCTTGTAAGCAGGAGCTAAAAGAAACGCCGGTTATAAATATCAAATCTCCCGAGTACAAACCGCAAATCGCATCCGCTCCCACACCGCTAATACAGTATCCAGTTTCGAATATCGTGGTCCAACAACCGCTACTACCCTCTTCGAGCGTCCCTGTGCATGAAGTTCCTCAAGTAATTCATCCGACCGGCGTACATGTTCCGATTCAACAGAGCACCAGCTCCTTCAGCACCAGCTTTACAGCTCCTCAGTCAGTTCTTCAGCCGATATCTCAACAACACCTCCATGTTCAAACTCCACAGCAACACTTCTCCGTGCCAGAGCCAGTCCCTCAAGTTCATCTGCAACAACCTGTAGTACCAGCTCCGGCTCCAACGCCGATCATTAACATCATACCGGCTCCCGCCGCACCCTGCGAAAAATTAGAACCCCAGCCACCACAACAAATTCATACAGTCCACGCTTTTCAACCACCCCAACCGGCACCACAATCGCTTGTGATCCAACACGCCATTCAATCATCCCAACTGGCACCTCAATCGTTTGTGAACCATCCCGTTATTCGACCCCAACCGGCACCACAACCGCCCGCGATCCACGAGATCAAACCATTGATCAAACCGATAAAATTGGAGCAAGAAAAGCCACCACAGGTAGGAAGAGAATAAGTTCAGATATAAATATATATATAGAGTACACACAGGATATGTTACAAAAGTTATAAGTCAATACATGATATAAATTTAATTTCTTTTGAAAACTATCAATATTTAAAAATTTAATTATAGATAAAAAATTGGAAAAAATTTTAAAATTATTTAAAAATTGATTACTTATCTTCTTTGCTATTAATAATTATCTTTTTAATTGAATTAGATTAGTTATTATACTATTCGATTATATAAAGTCCGTTTGAAATTAACAAAGAAGTAATTAAAAAATTATTAATATATTAATAAATATTTTTCGCGCACGATTTAGTTGCTGCCGGTTCCACAACACGAAATAAGTGTACCTGTCGCAGACCATCCCTGTAAATCCGACGTGATATTTGCACCACCTTCTCCTGTGGAACTTATTTACCGTGAGGAACAGCCGGCAAAGCTCGTCGAGGTACAATGTCATATGTATAAGATTTGTCAATTTGGCAAATTTTTGAATTTTCTTTTTCAAAAGTTCTTGTAGTTTTAATTTTCTGAATCTGCAAACTTTTTTTTAATAACTACTATATCTCATATAAAATATCAATATATAAAATGTTATTTCTTGTTCTAATATGTGTTTCATTATCATGCAGTATGTACCAGTATCGCAAGAATCATATGAGTGCAGTTGTCGATCCGAACACCAGTCTAAGCAAGCTAAGCCACCCAAGCATCATGTAACGTTATATCCTAGCAGCGGACGTATGTCCCTTAGGTCTCCGATGAGTCCCTTGGCCGTACAATACAATCCTAGCATCATGGGAAGTGAAGACACATCGCCCGTTTTTGCCACACAGATCAGAGAAGCGGTGAGTATCACACCGATTAGAATTAAACACATAATCTGACACTGATATGCAACAGCTTGTTTATATTAAACGAGCAATATCTTGTGATTTCGATTGTGCGATTTTTAAAAAGCAAAAAACCTTGAAGAAAACGACATCAAAAGATTCCTATCTACGCTATTCTATTTTTTCCATGAAAAATTTATATAATAAAGAGAGATTCTCTCTTCTTTAAAGATTCGACAGTTTGATTGAAAAACCTGAAAATATAATATTTGGTTTTACGCACACAGGTTTAATCCTTTATATTCTCGGTGACCTCGTTAAGGAAATTGGACCAAGCGACTTAAAGATTGTACTACAAATTTTGATTCAACGTCTATAACGTTTGTATCGAACGTGTATTTTTGACTTCCTTGAAATTTTCTTATGTATTATATTTGTTTAGAAAATAAAAAGAATTATATATAAAACCTTTTCGATTGTTCTCCTCCGACTCCCGAAATACACATCCACTTCTATCATATATATAATATAGCGTAATATATCAGTTATTGCGTTACGTGGAATCTTTTGATGCGTATGAAGCGGAACACTAGTCAAGTGCTTAACTAAGGCTAGAAATTGAATACTGAAAATTAAAAATCGATTCTAAATACAGATGCATTCAAACTATAAAAAAATGCAAGTCCTGATCTTGAAAAGAATTAAGAAAAGAAAAAAATAATTATATATACCAAATATATTAGAAAATATAATTTTTACATAGATAATAAATATCACATTATCTTTTTTCAGGAAGAAAGACATCATCATAAAAAAAAGCTCCCTTTGCATCTCTCGGTACAATATCCTGCATATAGTTCCTTCAATACTCCTACATATGAATCTAACTCATATCTTCCGTCGACATATAATAGTTATCCTTATTATACATATTCATCTTCCGGAACCTATAGCTCTTACCCTGCGACAAATTCTTATTCCAACGAATACTCTTATCCCTACAGTACCGTACCGCTGATAACTGTAAATACAGGAGGACCATTTTATAGGAATTTAGAAAACGAAAACTCACAGGAGGTTTCGACAGATAACAAAAGTATACAAAAAACCCTTTCAAATGTGGAGGATGTCTCTTTCAATAATCAAAAGCGAGGGGCTATCTCCACTCAATTTACGAATGACAAACAGAAAGAAACCACGGAAGAATTATCAGTGGAGAAAGAAAACATTAAACAAATCGATCCAAAAACTGATCAGATTTTAAAACAAAAAGAAGAATAAAGAAGAATAGAACGAGCTTTCGAATCTTTCAAGACATGCCTAAATAATTTGTGAATTGACTTAACGTAAATATGTATTTAATAATTATATATTTTATTATTTATATATAACGTTATTAATTTTTATCTAATTTTTTAAATTTTTTATAAATTTTTACATATATTGTAAATGTTAAGAAATGGAAAATTTTTTCCTTTTAATAAATATAATAAAATATTAAACTTTTTTTTCAATTGTAATTTATAAGTTCAAACACTCACCGTCTCGAGCTCTGCATTCCCATTTTTATAATGTTCCTCTATGTATCTTTCGGTCGATATAGAATTTTCCAACACGAGACATATTTACACACGTGATTTGTTTTCTGATCGTACGTTTACAAATTTTAAAGTTGTCAGATTTGAGGTTGAAATTTTTCGATACGCTTCAATTAATTTTCATGAACAAATTCATGTTGTTAATTGAAGAATCTAAATCCTGCAAAATATTAAATGTAACATTGAAAAATCAGCATATACATATAATTTTAATATGGTTTAAAAATTTATTTTTCACGATTTTTTTATCGTATTAATATATATATATAATATTTTTATATATTTTACATACACATATGAAATATAGAATATACCCTATATTCTAAAAATATTATGTCTTATAGAGTACAAAAATTTTTTCTATAGTTAAAAAATATATTCTTTTCATTTATTGAGAAGATTTGCAGTGTAAATTAAATGCAGTATAAATTACATGACTCATAATATAAATATGAATGTAACAATATAAAAAATTATTATGAAAATATTATTATGTAGCATAATATTTTTACAGTTTAAAAACAACAGTTTAAATTATTAACTCTTTTACATATATACTGACGTCATATTATTGAGGTGTCTGAAATCTATGAACAAAATCATTTATTATTTCTTCTAAATTTGCTCCGAATTGTTGGAAACACCATTTACTTGTTGCTGGATATATCAACGCTATGACAATGGCGCTTATTGTTAAAGGAGTGAGCAACTTCCAAATCAACTATAAAAAAATTAATTATGATTAATTATAAATTAATCAAATGCATTTTAAATACGTACGTGAAATATCCAAGATACAAGCAGCCATCCCATCAACATTATCGCAACTGTGATTAAATACGGAATGTATTCCGAACGAAGAATATATTTTAAATAGGGAATTTTATCGCTCAAATCCATTAACATAATTTCCAGCTGTATTATTAAAAATATTTATAATAGATCATAATTATTATAATAAATTCAACTGAAAACATTAACTCACATCCATTTCTTCTTCAATAAATTTATGAAACAGAAACAATTTCTTTCAATTTAGTGCAAGTAAAAAACGATTATAATGTAACATACAAGATACTACATTTTGATATAAAAAATAATTTTCTTAATGCTTTGCAAGAGAAGCAAAATTTTGTCAACCGATTTAATCAATTGCAACTTCGATCTATCGTATTAATATGACAATAAAACTGACTACTTCATCGCGTTTATTTTTATGTACTCATAATACACTGTGTATTTATTGAAATAATTTTTAGCATTCGTTACCTTTTCATAAATTTCACAAAATTTAATTCTCTTAGAATGTATGTAATGCATATACACAAATTTATTATGCAATAAAAAAATATATATGTATATGTATATATACATATACATATGTACATATATGTATATATATATATATATATATATATATATATATATATAATTTTATATAAAAAGTTTTTGTATAAAATTATTTCTTTATACAAATATCTTTTCTATAAATAATCCATTTTTATGTATCCGTAATATACAGTATACATTAGCAATCAATCATATTCTTGCATGTTATTGATTCCATCGAACTATTATTCTGTGATTGATTTTGCGGAGATTCGATGATACCCTTCTCTGCCGATGATGTGGAAAATTCGTTTTTCGAAAGCAAAATGTCTTCTGGTATTTCTTCAAGAATGCTTCTTTTGTATGGTACGAACGGAGTTTGCACATCGAGAAATTGAGGTAATTCTGGCGAAGAAGGAATTCTTTCTTGTTGAGGAATTCTTTCTGATTGATCAACCAGATATTGATCACATTTAACAAGTGCGCACAGTTTCTGAAACGCTGAGGACGTCATTCTTGCCGTCAGGATTGTTAGAAACTGTGCAAGACCAGGTGTTCAAAATTAACTGACCACGGGGCTATTTTGCCCTGTTGGTCTTGATTATGCATATTGCTTAATAAGACATTTATTAATATTCATAATATAAAATTCTTGCAGAGAAAGACAAAGATATTTACAAACAGATATAGAAATATGGAATAGATATAGAAACAAAAATTAATTAGTAGTAGAAGATTGAAATTGAAATACAACTATATACTCACAATGATTAAATTTGCAGACTGTCTCAATAAAAATACAGTAGTAGGATATATCAGAATAATCATTATTTCCATCAAACGTGAAACGGCAGCAACGGAAAATAGAATACCAGACAACATCAATAGGATTACAAGTTGGAAAAGTCCAATCAATGCCTATAAAAAATATCCAAAATCATGAAATTAAAAAAAATAATTCTTTAAAATTCTGTGACTGTAAAACTATAAATATACTTATATAAATTTTTTCATTTTTATAATATTAAAACAATATATTACTGTGTGAATATGTATGTGTATATCCATATACATATAAGATCCTTGTATATCTCAATTACAAATTACCAAAAGTAATTCTTACACAAAAAATCCACATGGTTAATGTTTCCTTGTGTTAATGAAGAATTACATTTGCAGTACTGTCAATTGCAGATCGTTCACAATTCTGCTGCTGAAGACTTTCACGTTCGATTACGCATTTAATGATTTGCATTCCACATTTCTTGATTTAATTTTATTTGACAACATATAAACTTTCTTTCAAACCCTTGGAGAAGTTTTTATCATTCAATGTCACATGAATAATATACTATTCATTCTAGTTATTTTTATTATTACATTAACTGCTAAATTAACTAAAATATGAATGTCTAACTTCACATTGCACTGTCATATTTATAGAAAAAAATTAAATGATATTAATATAAATCATTGTTGATATATATATATATATATATATATATGTAATATTATATAAAATATTATCTAAAATATCTATTTAATCTAGATAAATTCTAGGTAAATTTAGATTAATAATAAAAATATAATTTATTAAATATAAATATAATGCAAATCTTTATAAGAGTATTGTAATGTCATGCAAATCTTTTTAAGAGTCTTTTTTACTCTTGCTTGCAAATTTCGAGTTCCTAAAATAAAAAATATATTTTAATTCATATATTATTTTGAAAAATATAATAGATAATAATTCATATATTTAACACACACAATATACTTAAAAAAATGTATACACAACTATATATAGCGTGAAGATTTTAATAACTTATGATTTAATTATATACAGTAAAATATGATCAATATTACTCACATTAGCAATTTCATTATTATACATTTTTTCCCAATTGTAAATAAGAACTGCAGTTTCTTCCTCTTTTTTCTTAATGTCTGCTTCTAAGTTATTCTTTTTCAAATATTTCTTATTGATGTAGTCTTGATTTGTATCAAATTTAGTTTTCTGTTCTTTTTTTTCACTAAAAATATTATCCAATTTTAATTATCTTTAAAATCGAAGTATTTATTATATATATATATATATATATTATTATATAAAAAATCTCTCAAAAAATTTAACTTTTAAGTCAAACTTAAGCGATATTACCTCAATAGTTGGTTACACAAGTTGCGTAAAGGGACAATATCTTCTTCACGATGTAACTGTAGTTTGTTCATTTCTGTATCCATTTGATCTTTATGCATTATTAATTTATTCTGCCATTCATTCAATATATTATTTAATGAGTCAATCTGCTTTTGAATATTATTTACCTTTGTTTTCTTACTTCTATAGGAAAAATAGAGTAATATATATATGCATAAAATTATTGATAGCATAAACAATCTGAACATGAATAAAAACATACATCAATTCTTTATCTGTATCTATTAAAGTAGAGAATATATCATTCATTTTTGGGACAAAATTTAATTTTTCTCCTATTTGCTTTATGGATTGTTTCTTTTCCTGAATAGCTTCCTGTATTATATCACGTTCTTCTAATTTTAATTTCTTTTGTTCTTTGAGTGCATCTAAACGGGATTGATATTCTTCTGGTGAATATACAATTTCTGACTGTAATTCAGCTATCTCCTTGGACAACTAAAAATTATATTGTACACGCATTACAAATTTATCATTTATTTTTTGGCAAATAAAAATATCACATAATTATGAAAGATCAAGATTTAAATAAAGATATTTACTTTTCCCATTGCTGTTTTAACAGATCCACATTGTTCTTTGGCAATCTGGTTTTTCTTTTGTACTTCATTTTTCGTTGCTTCAAGTTGTAATTCACTTTTATTAATTTTTTCTATTTGTGTTGATATATGATGTATATCACTCTCCAGCTAATATACAAAAATATGTAATCATTGCATATGTAGTAAAATATTAGTTAAAAGCAAAAATATATTTTAATAAAAATTATTTTTTATTACTTTCTTTATCATAGATGACTGATTTGATTTGTGCTTAGCTTTATCATTAATTGACTCCACAATTTGAAAATTTCTTTCTTTTAGTTCTTCTAATAGCCTTGATGTAGCTTCAATTTGATCATTTTTATCATTATATTCTGGCTTTTTGTGCATTGTGTACAATACAAAATTAGAAAGAAATTTTGCATGTTTTTTAAGTCGTTTTTGTCCTACAAAATTTGTAATATCACAAATATTAATTTTTGTATCTATATGTAGATATAATAATCTTTTAAAAATTTTTAAATTAAAATTTGTACCAGGATTAGTGATATCAGTAAAACAAAAATCATGTAGAAATATCTTATCAAATATTTGTGTCACAATTGTATGTAAATTTATCAGATTGATTAAATCAGAATCCTCATAATGTGTCATAACAATGTGTTGTTCCGGAAGTGGCTGTAAAATTTTGTTCGGATAATAAATATATGTATGTACATATATATCCAAGAAATATAATCCACATATAACATGTAAGTGATTTGTAAAGTCTTACCTGATTAATTAAGTTTACCTCGATACAAAATCGTGATAAGAATACTGTCAACAAATTCACAATATAATCTTCTTTTGGATTTTTGAGATCTTCAATAGTTGATGGTAATGCAGCATCCAACAAAATGTGATGGATTTTATTGATAGACAGATCCATGATGATCGATTAAGAGTTATCTGCAAATCAATTGATTCTAAAAAAATGAGAAAATGAATAATGAAATAAATACAATAAGAAAACTTTTCATAAAATATAACATGTATAATAATATTCAATAATATTAATTATACTAATATTAATAAATAATATAAATAATATCAATATATATTTCCTTTTCATTATTACTTTAGAGTTGCATATACACATAACATTTATTTATCGAAGATACAGATAAATCTTTTGCTAAAGACTTTTTTAATGAAAACTTACTATATATTTTAAAAGCAGTTTTAATTTTTCGCGTTATTCCTGTACTATCTTAGAAACACGCAGCTTCTTCTGTGCTGTGGATGTGTGGATGATGATTGCGATGACTTGTTCCGTAACGCTCCGAAAAATATTTGAATCTGTTTGAATCTAGTACTTTTCTATCTTTTTGTCATTGATCATATAATTTTCCCCAGAATATTCCTATAAAAAAATTATTATTAGAACTATTTGAAAGATAAAGTTGGACAACGCCAACATCACCAGATTATGCCGCATGGCGGTCGTGACGTCATTGTAGTTGCGTTCTAATATCCTTGCCACGTATTTTTGCTGCTTGAGTGTCTCCAAGTATCCTGCGAGATCAACAATTGATTTAATGTCTTTTACTTGCTTGTCTCAAGTGACTTAAAAAGTTTTTGGCAGAAATGGGATCGTCTCAAAGCGTGGAAATACCAGGAGGTGGTACAGAAGGTTATCATGTATTAAGGGTAAGGTGATCTGTCAAGAATATTTAATTATTGTAAATATATTATTTATTTTTCAAATTTGTTTGTATATAAATGTTGTAAAGAAAGAACAATAATAAACAAAACTTAACAAAGTATTAAGTTACTTGTATAGCTATTTGTATTCATATATCTGTCATAGTCCAATTTGACATATTGATATATTGACTATTAGAAATGTCATTCATGTGTAATACATTTGTTGTTTTTCTTTTTATTTTCCTTGATATACATATTGTAGAAAATTTCACTAAATTCTATTAAATTTTTACTAAATTGTTTTGTATTACAAGTTCTTTGAACAATTCTAGATCTATTTCTCCTTCGATAAAAATATTAAGAAAAATCTCAATATTTTTCATAAACTCTATCAATCTTTTTTATTAAATATTTTTTTTCATTGAATCTAAAATTGTAATTAGAATATAAAATCGATTTAAAATTAAATGATATGGAAATTCAAATTACATCTTGTTTTAGTTTTTGCTATGAAAAAAATATAGAAATAAGAAATATTAAATACGGGATATTTTATATATTACATATGTATGTGTATATATATTACGGTTTACTGATTGTCAATGTGATATACATTAGAAATTAGAAAAATAAAATTTTTAATTCACAGTAGATAAAAATACAAATATATATGCATAAGATGATGTATCTTTTTTTGACAGGTTCAGGAAGGTTCTCCTGGGCAGCAAGCAGGACTTGAAGCATTTTTTGATTTTATTGTGGCAATTGGAAATACTCGACTAGTATGTTTACTAATAATTTTTATTGATAAAGATTCCTTGTGCAGTTCCAGTAATTATTGTAGTACAATATACTGTATCTGCATTTTAAAGTGCTACATATTTGTTCCTCATAGGACCAAGATAATGATACTTTGAAGGAACTTCTAAAGGCTGGTGTAAATAAAGAATTAACAATTACAGTGTATAGTAGTAAAACACAATCTGTAAGACGAACAAAAATTGTACCAAGCATGACATGGGGTGGACAGGGTTTATTGGGTGTTAGTATACGGTTTTGTTCATTTGAAGGTGCAAACGAAAACGTTTGGCATGTACTTGTAAGTGCTTTAAATTTCATAGTAATTTTATATAATGATATGTTATTTTATAGTGAAAATAAGGTTAATATATAAATTTATAGGAAGTACATCCATCATCTCCTGCAGAGTTAGCTGGTTTGCAACCATTTACTGATTACATTATTGGTGCAGATTCCATTCTTCATGAAAGCGAAGATTTATTTACTCTAATAGAGGCACATGAATCGCGATCTCTTAAATTGTATGTATACAATACCAAGGATGATTCCTGCAGAGAAGTGACTATTACACCTAATAATACTTGGGGTGGAGAAGGAAGGTAACAATTTTTTACAAAGTATCCAAGATAATAATTATTAAAATCATAATGCAATGTATAGATATTATTATTGTATTCTTATTTAACAGCTTAGGATGTGGAATTGGATATGGATATTTGCATAGAATACCTGTTAGAAGTGTGCCGGAGTCTAAGCCTGTCAATTCATACGTGGTAAGAAGTAGCATTATAAATTTTTCAAAAGTGGCAATATAAACTTTTATAAATTATCCCTAAATATTTTGCTTCTTTGCTATATATATATATATATATATATATATATATATATATATAAAATTATTATTATTATTATATATTTATGTATATTTTATGAGTATTTCTGTTTCAGAATGTCAAGATTGCTACACAAACTCAACCAGCAATGACAACAATTACTACAACTACTGCAGCAGAAATCAATCCAGCTATCAATACACCACTTGAGTTATCAGTTCCACCAAATTATACTGCCTCATTGAATAACTCTGAACATACTATGAAAAATTTGAAAAACGAACAAGAAGTTAAATTAATTGAAAATATATCTAACTTAAATATACAACCACAGACAACAAGTCATCTTAATTTCACTGGTGCTGCTAGTAGCTACACACCAGTCAGTTCAGTTCCTCACACGTTTTCGAGTCAGCCTTCTGTTAGTTTCACACCTGGTAAGCATGAAAAAAATTATATATATATTCTCTTAATATATACTTTTATTTTTCAAATTGCATAACTATATTTAAGAATTTAAAAGAAAATAGTAAGAAATCAATAGAAAATGAATAAAATTTTATTTATAATTTTCTTTTTTTCATGGGATGTAAAACATTAGTTTACTCTAATATATTGCTACGTTTCTGTTAAAAATTTTATTAAATTTTTCGATATTTTTATGTCTAAATATCAAATTTTCAAAAAAAAAAAAAAGTGATAGATTTTTAAACTTATATTTTTGTAATTTTTAGCTATTTACCATTATTTATTTATTTAATTATTTAGGCACTTATCAAGCAACTCCAAGCATTCCTGGCATGCCAACTATTCCGGTATTACCAACAACATTACCTACGAGCGTCACCAATTCTTATGAAGCAGCAACAGCTGGACCAATCAATATCCCAAGACAGCAGAGAGAACAAAACTTTGTTCAAGGTGCTAGTATAGTCAATGTTTCAGAATTGCAAAGAGAACAAAATCCTATCCATAGTGCAACTATGACTACTAGATTTAATGTGCCTCAGTCTCATATTGTGACGACACCCATTTCACTGCCAGGAATGCCGCCTATCACAGTTAGCGCCTCTCTCCCACAAAACACTCCCCTCTATCCTTCTGTTCTTCAACAACAAAATCAATTTTCACCTAATATCAGCACTACTACTGTTGCTCCAACATTGACTCCAACATCGTCATCATCTATACAGCAAAATGTGCATTCTTAAAAATTAAATTTAAAAAAGATGTGATTTTTCACTTTAATAAAACGTATTTTTAATCATGTTAGTAAAGTAAAACCGGATTAATTTGCTTGTTATAAATATGGTTATAGCTCGATAAAATTAAGTTAATTTTTTTTTTCATAAATATGAAGTATACACAACTTATAATAAATTTTTTAATGTGTATTAAAGAAAATATATAATTAATATAATATTGTAATATTGTACATAAATAAAACAATTATAAGATCTTAATTATAAATTGTAGTACAAAATTCCCAAAATTTATTCTACAAGTAATATTTTACTTTCTGTGTTATCTACAAAGCTTTAATTGTACAATAACAGTAGATATATAAAATTGGACAGTATACACATATGTATGCATATGTTTTTATATTGAAAACATTTTATTTCAATTGAGAATTTGAGAGATAAGAGATTGTACAATTGTAGGTATATTTTTCAATTTGAAAGAGATTAATTCATAAAAGCAATATTTATTATATATACATAATCCTCAATTAACATTATTATAACAAGTACTAAGTTTATACAGATAAGCAGCAATGAGATACTTGAATTTCATCAAACAAAATTCTTCTCTTCATTGTCAACACATTTTTAAATAATAATCTCGGTATCACCTAATTCTTCATCGCTTGGCAGTATTATTTTAGATGGATCGATTAGATTAGGATCGATGAGAGGAAGTCCATGTTCCTCTCTATAACGAAGTTGCAGATATGCTTCTCGTTGCGCCCAGTCTCTGCCTCTTACATCGGGCAGATAAGCCATAACAGTGAATCCAAGTACAAAGACTATAGTTACAAGGACGAACATAGTCACATGCAGAGTATGACGATCTTCCACTTCGCTTTCCTCGCTGAAGCCATAACTCACCCATTTTTTCTTGACAAGCGATTTCTCTTTGACATCATCGTAATATTTCGGTGTCGTCGCTATCCTTCGATATATCATCGTCTCCTTGGGTATCATTAAAGCTAACCCTCTGCGCAAACCTTGCACGCAACTCATGCGAAATAACGTTGTCATTGTTAATTGTCTTCACTCGCTGTGTGACAATTGTCACGAAAAATACGAGAGATTATCAATGCTGATTTTTTTATGAGAACTGCATTAAAAGAGCGAGACTTGAAATTAGATAATGTTTCTTCAATACTGTTCAATACTCGCGTAATTCATATACATGCGAGTATACATATAGCCATGATAATCAATGGCCGCAAATCAGCGTCGAATATTACAAGAATATCACACATGTATGGTTACATTCTTCAGAAGAATGGCTGTGATTGGTCAACAGCATCTAGAAAACTACCCCGGAAACGATTAAGGCCCGATTCCACAACTCGAGTTAATCCGAGTTTAATACGTTAAACTGAGTCCTGATTGGTCCATTCACTACTTAAACAGGATTAACTGGATTGTGGAACTGGGCCTAAATCCGACCATTCGAAAACGTTACAGCTAGGTCCAGTTCCACAATCCAATTAACCAGAGTTTAAGTAGCGAATGGACCAATCAGGACCCAGTTTAACGTATTAAACTCGGGTTAACTCTAGTTGTAAAACCGGCTTCTAGTATTTTCTCTAAGGCCAATACTCATAGGCCGGTATTCATAGTCCGGTCTTACATTTAAGGCCGGTATTTATAGTCCGGTCTTACATTTAAATTATCTTAAAAACTCATTCCACCAATCAATGACTGCATTGTAGCTATTTGATTGGTGAATGAGTTCTTAAGATAATCTTAAGCCGGATCTACATTGGTCGTATCCTAACGTCGTAAATCGTAAGTCGTAGGCAAATTGGCCAACCATAGTCGATTATTTCAAATATAATCAACTATGATTGATCAATTTGCTTACGACTTACGACGTTACGATACGACCAATGTACACTCCCGCGACAACGATTCGTTCCTTGGTCGCTCTCGCGGGGTAAGGGGAGCGTAGCCTCTAAAGATGCGGCCTCATTGACGCTAAAAAGTAGCGTCAACCATTGGTTGAACAATGAAGCAACTATACTTACCTCTTTGTTCAACCAATGGTTGACGCTACTTTTTAGCGTCAATGAGGCCGCACCTTAAGCGGCCTTTTCATTGACGCTACTTTTTAGCGTCAATGAAATTGCACCTTAACAGTTGGCAGCCCTACGAGATAGGCTGTGCAGCACTGCGCGTATATAAAATAAATTTGAAATCGCTTCTAGCCTAACCATCTTCACGCAATCGACTTTATTTGAATTGCACGGCATCGCATCGAATTATGATGCGGCGTCGATTTGTTCGAACGTAATTCGGGACATCGCGATGCTGTATAAGCGTCGAATGAGCACGAATTGTCACGCAAATATGATAAATCACATCTACTCACCGTTCACCGGCTGTTCCACAGGCCGCTCCACTCGCTCGTCTCGGGACGTCCCATTCCGATCTTGATGCACACGATATCATCAACGCGAACGCGCGACACTTTATTCGGCACTCCCGATGTTCGCTCGCATCCGATAATCATCATCAAGGGCGCAAATAACGCGACGCAACTTCACTCCATCTTCGCGATCGCACTATCACTGAACTGTGAAAAATAGCTGTCGTGCACTTTCACCGACATATTATGAAAGTCGCGCGATCATCCTTGGACACTTTCGACGCTCTTTCACTCGCGATATTCGTTTAAAAACGGTTAAAAGACGCGAAAAATGCGGACGTACGACGATCCGTGTAACTGCGTATGACTCCGATTCACGTATGACGCGTATGACGTAGCAGTGACGCGCTAACATGGCGGCCGAAGCGCATTCGTTTCTGCGCACTGGTTCGGCCGCCATGTTAGCGCGTGTCGCTACGTCATACGCGTCACTGCTACGTCATACGCGTCATACGTGAATCGGAGTCATACGCAGTTACACGGATCGTCGTACGTCCACATTTTTCACGTCTTTTAACCGTTTTTAAACGAATATCGCGAGTGAAAGAGCGTCGAAAGTGTCCAAGGATGATCGCGCGACTTTCATAATATGTCGGTGAAAGTGCGCGACAGCTATTTTTCACAGTTCAGTGATAGCGCGATCGCGAAGATGGAGCGAAGTCGCGTCGCGTTATTTGCGCCCTTGATGATGATTATCGGGTGCGAGCGAATATCGGGAGTGCCGAATAAAGTGTCGCGCGTTCGCGTTGATGATATCGTGTGCATCAAGATCGGAATGGGACGTCCCGAGGCGAGCGAGTGGAGTGGCCTGTGGAACAGCCGGTGAACGGTGAGTAGATGTGATTTATCATATTTGTGTGACAATTCGTGCTCATTCGACGCTTATACAGCATCGCGATGTCCCGAATTACGTTCGAACAAATCGGCGCCGCATCATAATTCGATGCGATGCCGTGCAATTCAAATAAAGTCGATCGCGTGAAGATGATTAGGCTAGAAGCGATTTCAAATTTATTTTATATACGCGCAGTGCTGCACAGCCTATCTCGTAGGGCTGCCAACTGTTAAGGTGCAATTTCATTGACGCTAAAAAGTAGCGTCAATGAAAAGGCCGCTTTAAAGGTGCGGCCTCATTGACGCTAAAAAGTAGCGTCAACCATTGGTTGAACAAAGAGGTAAGTATAGTTGCTTCATTGTTCAACCATTGGTTGAACAAAGAGGTAAGTATAGTTGCTTCATTGTTCAACCAATGGTTGACGCTACTTTTTAGCGTCAATGAGGCCGCATCTTAATCAATCAGCCACTGCCACGCTGCCAGCTGATTGGTCACTTCTACGCTCCCCTTGCCCCTCGAGAGAGGGGAATGGGAACGAATCGTTGTCGCGCAGTGTAAATCCAGCTTAAGACCGGACTATAATACCAGCCATAGTCCGTTCTTATATTTATGTTATGAATCACCAATCACTGAGCTTTATTAGCATCTTAAGGTCTTGAAATAAGAACGGACTATAAATGCAGAATCGTGAATATCTATCGAGTCTGCTATCAAGTGAGATGCGGATTTGTGGTCGATCGTTGTATGGTGGCTCTTGCACGAACGAACGAAGGAATTGTTGAATAGCGTCGTCGGGATTACGATTTCTCGTCGAGGACGCGGCATATTTATGTGTCACCGAGGCTGCCGGCGGACACGAAGCCTTTAATTAAGTACAAACGGACGCAGCACAAGAAAATCGAGTGAGTAACCGTCATTGTCGCAGTCATCGCCGCCGCTGAGGGAGGCTCGCGCGCGAATTTACACTGATAACCACAAACCGAAATGAGTTAGATCGATCGACGAATTGGAAGGAGACCTCGACCTTGGCTGCGGCGAGCGATTGACTACAATGCGTACGAATTCCTGAGTACTGATCTGTGAAAAGAGGTGGTGAGATAGTCTAAATGACAGTCCAAGTGATATGGATGGTGATCTAATAAATCGCGAATACATATTTCCGCCAATCACCATTAGATCGCGACGCGCGAAATGAATATGGAGGCAATATATGTAATGTATATACGTGTTGTATATATGTGCGTTTGATGCCTCAGTTGTTGAAAAATATGTAAAACTTTCTACTACAGATGAATGTTTTATTTTTAAGCTGTATTAAAAATTTTATCAAATCTATATCATGATAGATTACGTGGGAAAACATTGATATAATTTGTAAACATTTTATGATTATATTTTATGTTGTAATCTCAGAGATAACTAGATAAATTAAATATACATGATTATAACAATTTTGTTATTCTTTAGGTATGAGGCGCAAGAGTGAAAGAAATAAAGCAAAGGGATCTCCAGAGAAGAAAATTGAGAAACCAACGAGGAAGTCAATGCGTAGACGTAAGAAATCGCCTTCCACTTCGCCTTCTAAACAAGATAATTTTGTCGAAGATGCGCCTGAAAGCACCGCTCCACTCAAAGAAATTGAGAAGGAAACAAGCGTACAAACGCGCTTACAAAGTAAAGAATTGGAACAGACGCCACATGGGCACGAAGAAAAAGTGTCGTCTACTGAGAAAGACGTGAAGGCAGACTCACCAGAAAATGAGGAGGATAATGGCGGCTCTGTGTGGAAAGTAGCGAGGGCGGATGCATCACCTGGCGAGATACAGAAATTGAAACTATGTAGGCAGCGCAACACATCAGAAGCATCATCAGATACAGCATCTTCTAGTAGGAAAAGTGTTAAGTCAAGTAGCAAGTGGCAAGAAAGTGGTGAGGGCGTTGCAGAGGAGGCTGACTCGGCGGATGAGCAACTGGTTTCTTGTACAAGAATGCTTAGTAGCACTGAACAGCCGAACGATCCCTCCTCTTCATACCCAGGTCAGGACTCCAACGAAGAGGTAAGTGATAGCAAGGAGATCCTGCCTGAAACCACTTCAGTCAACTTGTTGTCTGACGATAAACCAAACATAGATCAGCATGGTGAATCAAATGAGGCAAATTGCGCTGCCCAAATCATTGATAGCGAATCTGGTAGCACGAAACCGGGTAGCACGACAACCGCGCTGACTCCTAGTGCAGACAGCGATTATCTTTGCGAGAAGCCAGCTGCTGCTGTCACCGTTCAGGAAGAGAAGTCTGTGGAAGATATCAACGAAAAATCAACAGAAATATTCAGTCATGAGACTAATGTGGAAAATGTCCATAAAGATACTAGTAGTGAGGATGAGGAAGATGATAAAGCGAAAACTCATCGTCCAGTAGACTCATCGTCTGATTCTAACGATGAGTCGCGTCCTAAAAGAAGAACAAGTAGCGACCGAACATCGCCACGTGCGATTCGCAGAAAACATCGAAACAAATATGGAGATTCATCTAATTCTGATACACCTGATTCCGAAGATGAAACTGTTGATAGTAAAGTCTCCAAACCTTATGTCGAGGAGGAGGAAGAGGAAGAGGATGAGAAACCAACTACAGAGTATTCACAAGAAAATGATAAGGAACGATCGGTCTCGCCGGAAAGAACAAACTCTCACTCAAACAATGTAGAGAAAATGGAGGTTGAGCAGTGTGAAACTGTGCAGGATAAATCAGAGGAAAATACAACTGAAAAATCGGAACAAACTGCACCAGTCGGTACTCAGACGATCGCTCATAAGCCAGTGAAAGTCAACTTGAAGAGATCATTGTAAGAATAATTATCCTTCTGCAATGAGTATTTTTTTTTAATAAGGAAATTTTATCTAAAAAAATACACAGTTTATAATAGATATTATTAAAAATTTTTGAATATATATCATTATCTGCAGATTTGATTTAAATGATATTTCAATACTTTTAATGACAATTAAAGAAATAATTTAACTTATTCTTTAGATTTTTTAATTATATGTATATATCAAATAAATCTAACAATTTCTGTCTCATTTTTCAGTTCAACAAGGATATTATCTGAAAAGAACGAAATGAAAAGAGACGACACTGATACAAACGTCGACAATGAATCCAATAGTCAAAATAAGGTATATAATGTTTCTATAACACTATTAATCTTGTGAAAAAAGATTTTCCCTTTCTAAATTTGTATATATATGTTATATATAAGTGATATGTATTTTAGGAAAACGGCAACGAACAAGAACCTAAATGTGTGCCAAGGAAACGGCGATGGGGAACCGCGCTTTCTACAGATACTGCACCTTCATTCTCTATCTCGACAGATTCACTCAAAGTAACTAATTCATTTTATTATGTGTATATATATATATATATATATATATATATATATATATATATATATCATCTTTATTTTTATGAATATCGAAATTCAATAACTATAATGTTGATAGGCATTGGTACCGGGTGCAAAACCATTATCTATCAATGAAGTTCGTCTCTCGAAAGATGACGACGAGGATAAAGATCGTCATAGAAGTAATGACAAACGGCACAATTCTAATGACAGTACAAATGATAATAAAATAACAGACGAAAATTTACAGAAGAATGGCACTGCTAAAAAAGGCAATGGAAAAACAGATAATCACATTGGTACGTAATTTATATTTGTAACTTATTAATCGATAAATTATATATTATTTGAAATATATAATGTTTCAATTTTTCCTATACAGCGACAAGGCGGAAGATATCGATCGTGAAAGAAATGCCACATATAAAATCACCGAGTCCACCTACGTCTAAACCTACTAATATTCTTCTGATTAAGAATCTAGTTCGCCCTTTTACATTAAATCAGATTAAGGAACTTCTTTCGCGTACTGGCACTATTGTGGAGAACGGATTTTGGATGGATCGGATTAAGTCCAAATGCATTGTTGAGGTACAAAATGAATTACATAAAATATAAAACACTACAATTACTATTGAACTATAGAATCGAATATTTCATGTTATTCTAATATTACAGTATTCCAATGAGGATCAGGCTTTTGAGACAAGACAGGCACTTCACGGAATTTCTTGGCCTATGTCGAATCCAAAGAAGCTCCATGTGGAATATGCCACAAAGGAGGACATGGAGGCTGCACGGGAATCATCCAAGGAACAACCAGTCGCTCGCAAAGCCGAGCCGCTTTCGTCGGATCCATGGCAACAGGATTGGAGTCGCGACGAAAAGATCAATACAACTAAAGTAAGAGAGAACTTTCACAAATAAGATAAAAACATAATCTCACTCATAATAATTTAAACATCAGAGCATTTTGAATCAATTCAACAAGATATGTTCATATATTAGGTGACTGTAGTGAGAGAATGGGATTTAGGTAAAGAGGATGGCCAACAGCACATCAGGGAGAAGGAACGTGAGAAAAAGGAACACGACAAAAAGCGACGAGCGAGAAGTCGGAGCCCTGCATTGGATGCGCATTTATCGGCACCAGCTCGTAAATTCAAGAAGAAGGAGGATGATCCGCCGCCAGCCAAGCTCCTGGATGATCTCTTCAGAAAGACGAAGGCGACACCTTGCATATATTGGCTGCCACTTACGAATGAGCAAGTAAGTTAATTCAGTAAACATTTAAGAATTATAAGAAATAACGATATGTTATCTAATTTTATTATAGCCGATATTCATAATCCGTTTTTATACTTAAGATCATCTTAAGTCTGGTTTTAAATTTTCTTAAGATTTTGTTTAGCCAGTGAATGGCTATATAACATTTTCAACTTAAAACGATCTTAAATATAAGGACGAATTATGACTACCAGCTTATGAAATATATTTGTCGGAATAGAATTGTAAATATAAAGAAAATAAGATGCTTTTAAAAAATTTTTACAATTTTATTACTTAAGCCTTTATATCTTGTCGATTAAAAAATTTTCCATTCCGGAAATTTGGATTATGAAGCAAATAAATGAACATTGACAATGAAATATTATAAAATTTTTTACGATATGTACAGATAGTCGTCAAGGAAGAAATGCGACGGCAACACATGGCCGAACACGCGCGCAGATTAGAAGAGATGAGACGTGCTGACAGAAATAGAGATGGCCGGCGTCGACGTAGTCCGAGAAAATAGAGAAGATAAATGTATCATCGGCAACGATAAACGTACCTTTCCTTTGATCCAAACCTAAACTTGATTCAACTTTAATAACTCCTCTCAATCATTCTTGTAGTTCTAGATCCCATTGTTTTTTATTATATGCTTATCACATATATATATATATAAATATTTTTTATCAAAAACATCCAAGATGATAATTGATAATTCATTTGTTAATACATTTACGTTCTGATTTTGTTTTCTTTCATAAGGATGAGACAATTTAATTGTTTCGTAGTAGTTTCCTTTGTATTGTTTTCTCTCTTCATTCTATTTTTTTATATTTCTTTTCTCAGTTTGTTTCCAAATCACTTACAAATGATACGATTTGATGCATGACTATAAAGAATCCTTCCAATTCCTTTCCTTATATATCAGAATTAAACCATACTTCTTACAGGTCAACATTTATCTATCCTACAGAGAGCCAATAATTAGATCAGACATGGTGTAGTGATACTGTGTATTGCATCGACCACAACAGGTGATACTGATTTATGATCTCTACGTCATATTAAGATCATATGTGAGAGACATCTACTCGCAAGTATCCACATGAAACATTTTACAACGTGGGAAGCTCTTTGAAGAAAATAGACGAGACACATGTCGAATGTGAAATGGACTTGACATGATTGACTAATTTTTGTTTCTTCGTTCTATTGTTATTTTCTTTTTTTTACAAATTAAACATTGACAAGTTTATTTGGATCGATATGACGCAATCTGGTTGGAAAATATTGCCGCTCGAACTATAGAAGAACATTGTTGTGAAGACGTCTCGAATATCGTTTGACGAATGAAAAAGAAACTGTTTCTGCATTAAAAAAAATATTCTTCTTCATAGTCTATTTCGATCTCAGCGAGCTCAACGACTACCAACCATTCAATTTTGATAGTGGCTACACTTGAAAACATCGCGTCAGTGTTTTAATTGTGCGATAGACTAGCGCAGAACGAAGACATATATGTAAATATAACCGATATTCCATAGTGTGACACATGTAAAATTATTAATAAATCTTAAACAAAAAAAAGAGAATATACTACTAGGATATATAGAAATACATTTACCGCTTACTTTTTACAATACATCTATCGGAAACTTTGTTATTCATCTGTAGACAAAAGATTAAGAACGTGGATAAGCAAATACATTCATGCTTAAAACAAAGCACTGTCTATTGTCTGTTATGTTCTTAAAATTGTATTTAATAAATTTCTAACAAAAGATATCTCGCGAAGTAGAAACGCGGCAAGATAAATATCTCTACAAAATATATAAACTTATTCGATAATTTTATTTGTATTTTCTTAATAACATTACCACCGACGAGATAATACCTCGTCGGTGCCAACGCTAACATGGTAATTATTTTAATTTACAAAATCAAGCTACAGAAAGTATACATATCGACTATTAAATATATATCACGATTACAAATATTAGTAATAACAATGAAAAAAAGAAAGAGAGACTGATTGAGATTGGTTCTCAATTTATACACATTTACTTGGGTAAATTTATATAATTTGAAAAACATGATACGGTTTCGTTTTATTTAATGAAATTGTACTTTTCTCTCATGTACCTCACCATTAATACTTTTATCAATTTTTAATAAAGAAATCATCTTTGCATCTTTCTTTAGTAAATAGATAAATAAACTATAAATAATCTGTCAGATATTTTATATAACATCAATGATTAATATTACGAGAGATATTGAACTCAAAATGTAACTGCACATTGTATAAGATTTCTTCAAATGTTCCAAAAACAAAAAATGAAGTAAAATACTTATGTAATAGATAATTTTTTCGAATATCTAAAACACACATCAATATGCATAATGTATGTTAGATGTTTACTCGGAAAAATATTTCTGAAGAATGTCAGATAGTCGATAACGCGATATTGATGTGTATCTAAAAATGTACCTCTTTTATATTAATAAAATAAATCACATTTATTATTTATGATGATGAAATACGAGGTAATTCAACAATAACGACGCGAAAAGTATATTAATATTCGCTCATTATTATCGTAACAAATTTTTCTTTTCTGTTCTAATACCAGTTTATGTAATATCGACTATCGCTCATTCTCATTTCAATCAGTTTTGCACTAATTTTACCACATTCATGAAACAGGCATTGTTCTCGCCTCTCACCAGTTTTATTTAATCAACCTTCACAACACTATAAATCTTGCGCACAAACCAAAAACAGGCGAAGAAACCAATGGAACCTGGAAAAAAGATATATTTGCTTGTTTTTTAAATATTGGAGAACTATACATATAATGAATAATATTTACCAGTCAAGAGGAAGAATAAGTAAACCATGATAAACGTATATCCAAAATACAGGAACGTGGAAATGGCGCCTTCAATATCTAATTTAGTGACGAAAAAGTGTATACAATAAATTAACAAGTATACAGCAGTAAAACCGGATGTGAGAAAACTGCGCCACCACCAGTGATAGTCCTACAAATAATTTTCATTATTTATTACATGACATATTTAACATAAGAGATTCAAGCCCTCATTTTATATATATATATATATATATATATATATACATATATATATGTATATTTACCTCCGCGCAAAGATGGAAATAACAGAGTAGAATTGTCGTCTCGGAACACGTGATAACGAGTATAAGGAAAACCAAAAAGAGAAATCCAAACATATAATACACTTGGCTTGACCTATGAAAGATTTATTATTTATTAATAAAGATATATATATATATATATATATATATATATATATATATATATATGTAATGTAAAAATATACTTGCCAAAGAGAATTAAGTATGAAGAATAACTGTATAAATATGCAACCGAACGGTAAGACGCCACCCATTATTACACCAGGTACTGGTTGCGTATAGAAATTTTGTTCTGGTATCTGTCGAGGAATCTGATTAGTCCGCACTGGATGTTCCAAAGCCTATGGCATTATTTATAATATTATTTATAGTTATTTGTATATATTATGATGAAATAACATTAATCGATAATTACTCTTTTTTTAAAACCAAAATAGGCGCCGATGAATGTTAATGGTACTGATACTCCAAACCATAATGCCAGTAGCGCGATTAAAGTACTGAAAGGTACTGCGGCAGAACTGCCGTTAACCCAGAATATCAAATTCATTATAAAAAATAAGCTAAATACGATTCTGAAAAAGAAAATATAATCTTATAATATATATCTCTTTCTATGTCTCAAATATAAGTGATAAAAGAGAGACAAATATCTCTTATTTTAAATATAACAAAATTAACAAATTTATAATATATTTTACCCTGGACTAAGCATGGATGTAAGTAAGACATTGGATTTCCATTTTTCTCCGCCGAAACTCTTATATATTCGTGCGGCTGCGTATCCCGCAGTGGTTCCCAAACAAACATATAAAACCATCGCACAAGTCATCAGCGCGCCTCTATTAGCAGGTGAAAGGAAACCCAAGCAAGCAAATGCTAGAATTATAATATTTATCATTTGAGAAAAATAAAAGAAAAATGAAATAGAATTAATATATGTTAAAAACTTAAAAATTTTTCATAATTCTAAAATAATCTTTAAATTTAAGTTTTAAATTTAAATTAAAATTAAATTCTTAATTAATTTCATAAATACGATCTACCTAGTGTAACTAACGTCATGAAAAACATTTGAACACCAGATCCAAGCAGAACCGAAAGCAACATTCCTTTACGCGGAGGGCGGAATACATCACCGTGTACCAATTTCCACCCAAACTCCTCTTGTGCATCCTCTCCTGATTCTATCTGGAAGTAGGCCTGCGTTATCACAACACAGACAAATAGATCACAATTTTGTAAAAGTGAAGAAAACATTTGGTTACCTTCACCTTTTTATAAAATATGTTATATTGTTCTATAAATATATTATATTGTTCAATTTTGCGCAATTGGTTAAATTATTCAAAGCATTTCTTATTATAAGTATGGGATATCTGAATTATTGAATTAAAAGGGCATAATTCAATAAAAGTAAATTTTGAGAAAATTGTAAATTTTTAAAAGTGGAAAGTTTTTTGCGAAAAACATCAGAGCACATTAAGTTTATGGATGTTCCATATGATCTTTTGATCAATCGGAGTAAATGGACAGAACAAATATTTCTTTATCTTGATTGATCAATCAAATATTTCAAAATATTTATAATATTAAATGTGGTGCATTCTATATGTCTGTATTTTTGAATAATTCTGTGAAATTTCATTAAATTTTAAGACATTCAACACAAACACATATACTGTGTGAAATAAGATCTTCAATAAAAAAAAAAAGAGAAAAAAATTGATTTTAAAAAATGTCTCCCTTTAATATATCCTTTTAATATATAATTCAATTGTTAATGTTATTATCAAAAAGACTTAGAAATGTATTTTATTTATTCATTTTGTAATAAAATAAAAGGATGTGTATAGAATATAGGGAAAATTATGTGCAGTTATGTTAAGTTAAAGCTATTTAAAAATATTTATAAAGTTAAAAAAAATATTTAAGCTATTTAAATAATAAAAAGTTCTACAAAATGATTGATTGTGATATATAAGTACCTGATTATATCGAGCGATATCTTTGTGCAGTGTGCGAAGCATTATCATAGCCACCATACCAGAGAGAAACAGAACAATTATCAATGAGTTAAGAATACTAAACCACTGAATATTTGTATGTGGCATTGATTCCAAAATGTAATCCCATCTGGATGACCATTTGATCGTGTTATTTCTCTGAAATAATAACAAATATACAATAATAAATTGATATATAAAATAAAAAATAAATTTTGCAAATTGTTATTAAAATATTCTTGTATTATCATACTATTTCATATTTACTATTTCATATTTCATATTAACTTACCACAAATTTAACGGAATATGTGTATTTCACTTCAAATCTATCTGGCATCTCATTGGCTGGTATCTCTAATGGTGTTTGACTTTCACAATCAATTGTACTGCCATGCTTAATACTGTGAGGCACTACTTTTGCAGCTATTAAAAATATATAATTAATACAATATTTTTAATACATAAACACTGTTAAAATTGAATTAGATTAAATAATCAAAAATAGTTTAAATAATAAATAGTTTAAATAATCAAAAATAATTAAATTAAATTAAAAAGTTTTAATTTAATTTACGAATACTCACATATGATACGACCACCGTTTTCCTTAAAGTTTGATCCCCATTCTTCTGTAGCACCACTATGATACGTTATAGTAAGATTTACATGATTGAACAAATAGTAAGTTTTCGGTTTGTTGTATGGACCCTAATAACATACATAAAGAAAAATATAATTTAATATTTCTATAATATATAAATTGTTCAATAACTCTTCCTTTACTCACATGTATAGTACAAGTATCTTGCTGAGATCTAGACTCTTTGGAATAGCAACCCATAGGGAAACCAGTACTACAATACTGTCGTTCATCTTCTAACTGATAACACCATGTTACTGGCATATTATCTGACAGAAATAGAACACATTAATGAAGTATTACCAAAATTTTATAACTATATAGATAACAATAAAAGTATTGTAATTACAAAATTGTAACTTTTCAAGAGAATTATGTTACAATAATCTTTCTCATATAAATTTGTTAATTAAATAGAATAAAAAAACAAAATAAATTAATAAATGATTTAATAGAAAATAAATAAAAAATTATTGAGTAAATATAAGTTAAATGTGCTATTTTTTTAAATACATTTATATAATTTTTGTATATTTTGAATATATTTCTATATATTAAAGCACACACATACACATTCTCTCTCTCTCTCTCTCTCTCACACACACACACACACACACACACCACACACACACACACACCACACACATTTCACATTTATCATTTCTTTTTTTTTCATTTCTTTAAAAATAAATAAATAATAATATATATTTTGTAATAACATATAATATACCTTTCTAATATTAACAAAATAATATTTTCTAAGAAGTAATTGTAGTTGAAAATTTATCCAAAGAAACAATTTTAATCATTTAATATATTTCCATTGTTTTTAAAGTTTTTTTGATACTTTACCAACAATCCAGTGATGTTGATAATTGACTGCTATTCCTTTCCTCAATAACTGCAACTTCTTTTCAGAGTTTTCATCACCTGCCGTATATACTTTTGTACAAGTGGAGGCACACTTGATGTCTTTTAAAAATTCCAACTAAAAATACAATATATTTTAATTAATTGTTTTACAAATTAAGCTTTAAAAAAATTAATCTTGAATCTTATTGCTTCTACCTTGTATGGAGATGGCCGTATACGTTCTCCAAATACAACTTGTCCCAAATTTTCAACTGGGGATGGTTCATCTTCCACCGTACAGAAGTCAAAACTAGATTAAAATTTTGTAAAATATTAAAAACATACAAAAATTATACATGTTATAAAAGTTACATATTTATATTAAAAAATTAAAAAATAGATTAATTATATTACTTACTGACTATATTCATATGGTATGACATACTTCTCCGTGTTTAGACGGTTTACATACAGTTTAATCTCAGACTGAAACAAATTTAAGTAGACATATATAATTTTAGCAATTAAATGCATATAAAATTTAGATAAAAATTGCAAAATTTACTTTGACATATTAGAAAAAGAGACAAAAATAATTATAAAGAAATAAGACATACAATTTGCTTGTATTGAAATTTATATTAAAAATTAACGAGATAAGAGATATAATTAAGGAGATAAAAGATAAAATTTAATACGTAATAAAAAAGATAAAGGACATAATGTATGCGCGCAGATCCATCAAAAATACATGGTGACACGGAACATTCATGATTCGTGATCTGTCATAACCAACCGGTCGCAATTCTTATACATGCGTACCTTGCAGGTTGCAGTAGTCTCACCGGCCTTGCAGTAATTCACAGGTGCCAGGCCGGGCAAATAGAAGGCCGAGGCACCGTGAAATACGCATAGCGTGTAAAAGATCACCGTCGTCGTCGTCGTCGTCGTCGTTCTTATCGCCGTCATCGTCGACGCAATAGCTGTTCTTCTTAAAGCCTTCTGTCGTCTCGTTCGCGTTCTAAAATATACTCTCCTACATGAAAGCGTCCGATCGCATCATACACCCCACGGGTTTCTCTCGTTTACGAGGGATTGCGCGAAACGTCGTCGCGAGCGCACGCAAACGCATATCACATCTCGAACGCTGCCATGACACGTCATGCAGTAATGCCAGAATCGAGACGTGAGACGCGAGCACACGCAACTACAGTGAAGGGGAGGTAACGCAACAAGCGGAACTGCGTATGTCATACATGTCACTTGGCGATTCGGCTAATTGAAGATAACAGAAGGAGACGGATGTGTTCCCTGTCTCCTTCCAAGGCGAGAACGAAAATAGCACGAGCTGCATTATATTAAACGGATAAATATTTATATTAAATGAATTTTATTACGGTCTTGTATCATGTGTACCTTCCATAAATCGGCATCGTTGTCAGTTTTGAATTTCGTGCCATTTAATTAACGCGAAAAGCGATGACGCACACCATTCGCAACGATTCGTGCTTAGGGATTTTTACTGGATGGACCAATCAGAAAGTTTCGCGGGCAAACGAGTGTCGTTCTGATTTAAACCTAAAGCCTATTTACATGTATTTTTTAGATTCAATTCTCAGCATACCTATCATGATACTCGATAGTACATGGACGAATCGAACCAGCAGCTGATAACAGCTGAAATTTTCTAATCTACATGTATAAACTATATGTATATATCTGTGACAATTGTATAAAAGTCTAAAGAAACAGTAAGATAAATGCAATGTAAGCCTCAATTAGAATAAATTAAGACTTTGTTCGCGACGAGCTTTGATCCCTCAATTATACATTAGTGTACTCTGATCAATGACAGTGATGCGGCGGTGATACAGTGATCTTAACGGCGTCAGAAACGTCGTCCAAGCAAGTCTTATTAAAATTGCGATGATGCGCACAAATGTAAATTTCGCAACGTCGATTAATAAATATTACGCGTATTCACAATTTACATGCATAAAAGTTCTGTTTATGTAGTTAGAATAGTTATAGCAGCTATAATGTTCACGATCGTGTATGTACTCTAACAATTCCTTGCATCCAATTGTACTATGATGGGCATATTGTACGAGAAAAGGCCGCTGAAGAGGCCGAGACTGGGTCCTCCAGACGTTTATCCCCAGGAGCCGAAGCAAAAAGAGGATGAACTTTCGCTTACAAATGTCAAGCATGGCTTTACTACTATACCTCAACTCGCTGATGAATTTGGAACAGCCAGAAGTTCCAATGTCACTGCCGCCAAAGTTGGCGCGTATTTTAACGCAATCCTCGCCAAAAAGGAAGAACTCGCGACGATGCCTGACACTGGTAGGAAGAGACAGCAGATTAATCCCAAAGATAACTTTTGGCCAGTGACAGCTAGAACTAAAAATGGTATCGAAGCATGGTTTAAAGATCTTTCGGGTAGCAAGCCGTTGGTCGCCCTCGCGAAGAAAGCTCCAAACTTCAATAAAAAGGAGGAGATATTTATGATGCTCTGCGAATACCAAGTGCCAATGTTGAGAGCAGCTTGGTTTATCAAGCTTAGTTCAGCTTATACGGTTGCAGTTTCAGAAGCCAAGATAAAAAAGCGTCAGCTACCTGATCCAACTACAGGTAAAACACAACTTTATTTCATATACTGTCAGGAAATACAGCTATTGTTGTCTTTTAAATTGATAAAATATAGAATCATTAAATAGGAAAATACTTTGTAAATTTTATAGGATTATCTTCTAGTTATTATTTTATTTACTTTATAATTTATTGTTTAAAACATCATAACTTAATAAGAATTTATAAAATTTCGTGATTATAAGGAATATTACTAAATGTGATTGTTTTTCTTGTAGAATGGACAGGTACCTTGATCAAATTTTTAAAAGATCAATTATCTAAACTGCAAGAATACTATCATATGGGTAATCATGTAGCCAATACCAGCAACAATAGTAGTACAACAAACAATTCCTGCAACAGTAATGGAACTGCTGTAACAAATAATAGCAGTACCAACAATAATAGTAACAATAACAATATTAATAATAATAATGCAAGCAATAATAACAATTCTGTTAATAATCAACCACCCACACCTACTTCGAGCAGTCAGCCTGTAACAGGCAATACAATGAATGAAGAACATAAATTAGCGCTTAAACAATGGCACTATTGTGTACAGTTGGCTAAATACATGTTTGAGGAAGGTTTGCTGGATAGACAAGAATTGTTACAATGGATCCTAGAATTATTAGATAAGATTAGATCTTCACCTTCGGAAGATGGTATATTGAAGCTTTTATTACCATTGGCTCTGCAATATTTAGAGGAGTTTATACAGTCTGAATTATTAGCTAGACGATTGGCATACTTGTGTTGTCGTAAATTAGCACATATGTGCAATAATATTGAAAGTAACAACAATCCTCAGAGTCCTTCTATTATTAAAAATGAAGTTAATAAAGATGCTAATGTTGCTGTCCAAGCACCATTAAATCCTTTGACAATTGCTTTTAATGATTATTTGACTTGTGCACATCACAGAGATATAATTTACAGTTTATCTACTATAATACAGGTAAACAAAATGTTATTCTCTATAGGATACATTATATATATATATATACTAATTTAGATATATTATTAATTTACATAAATTAATTCTATCACAATATTATAAGAAATAATAATATAAAATATTATAAGAAATAATTATATAAGAAATAATAAGAAATTTATTTAATTTTAGGTCATAACATTGGAGTGCTCCACAGCATTGGTCTGGAATAGCGTTGGTGAAGGAAAGGCTCCATCAGTTTTAAATGGATCACCTTTAGACTATTTACCATGTCCTCCTGCAGCTTTGCCATGTCCACCAGCGAGTTCCAGTAATCCTACAATGAAACAGCTCAGAATTGCACAGGAAAATATAAGAGCACGATCTCAAGCAGCAGAAGGTAGATGGTCATGCGACAAATGGCAACAGAGTAGTGCTGGAACAACGACTACTAAAGTGTTGGCTGCATTAGATGCTCTTGATCGGCATAGTTTTGATAGAATGGATGCTTCTAATTCACTCGATACGTTGTATGCAAAAATCTTTACATCATCCCTGAAAGACAGCTGTAACGAACGTGACACAAAAACAGAATATAATCCACAACAAGATTCAGCAGTGGTTGAAATTTTATGCGAATGGGCTGTAAGCGCTGAACGTTGGGGAGAACACAGAGCAATGGCGGTCGCTAAGCTTCTAGAAAAAAGACAAAGTGAGGCTACTGGTGAGACTAATGATAATGATGATAAAGATAGTACATGCAGTAATGGAAGTCCGCCTGTACTTCCAATCTTTCAATCTCTGCTCATGAAATTCTTGGATATGGACGCTCCCGTATTGGATAATACTTCATCTCAATCCAAGACTCAGTTTACAAATTTAGTTCATCTGTTCTCAGAATTAATAAGGCATGACGTTTTCTCACATGATGCATACATGTGCACTCTTATTTCAAGAGGTGATCTTATACAAGGTAATGTCAATATATATTTACTTACTTTAAAAACTACTTGTTTATATGTTTCAGTTTGTGTTTAGTAAAGAAAAATTAAATTATATATAAATTTATAATTTTTCAAAATCAAGAAATATATCTAATAATATTTTGCACTAATTTGCAATTTTTTAACATAACAATAAAGTACAAAAAAAGTGCTAAAGCATCTTAACATATTCAAAATGTTTCAAAGATATTTCTTAGACATAAATATTAAGTGCATGTTTTTTCTATCTTATTTTTTATAAAATATTTTTCTGGAAATTGATAAATTATTTAATCGATCATAAAATTATCTATCTTAACTAGGTCCAGTAGCTAGCAAACCTGGAACACCCAGTAACAGGGAACCAATCGATGAAGATAGTCTTTTTCCGGGTATAGATTTAAAACCGACTAAATTGGAAGTGTCAGATCATGGACGTACTATGGACTATGATGACAGTAAAATTGATGATGATTTAGACAAAATATTACAACATATTAAAGAAGACCAACAAAATAGCATGGATGCACCAGACAGTCCCAAAGAGGATGCATTAACTGGACATGGTGGTCATGAAAGTCTTGATTCAAAGATGCCTTCAAGTCATAGCAGGCATTTATTATATACTACTCATTTCCCTCTGCCACAAGTAATTTTTTTTAATATTTCCTTTATCAAACAATTTCAGCAAATTGTTAGATCAAATTGTGATCTCATATCTTCAGTATTTTTTATATGCTTGTTAAAATCGTTTAAATACAGATTATATACATAAATATTTTTAATACAACGTTCTCAATATTAAATTTTTTTTTTATAATTTATATAATTTATAAATATTTACTGATTTTTTATAATTTATATAATTTATAAATATTTACTGATAAATATTTACTGAATATTAAAATTTTTTTTTATAATTTATATAATTTATAAATATTTACTGATTTAGGATGAAACATGTAGTCAGCATGATTGTAATCAGCGACATGTATTACTTTATGGTGTTGGACGTGTCAGAGACGAGGCCAGACACGTCGTGAAAAAAATGACGAAAGAAGTATGTAAATTATTTGGCAAAAAATTTAGTATTGATGTCGCAGAAGGTGGTAAAGTAAAAAAACATTCTCGAAGTGAATTTAATTTTGAAGCTGTCACTATGAAATTTCAAAATCTAAGTTACTTTGATCAACATGTTGTGACATGGCAGTGTGCAACACAAGTTATAGAAATGCTCAACTTATTTTCAACTTCTCCATTCTATTATTTGCCAGTTCATGAGCATGTAGCTTTTCTTTTTGATCTAATGGAGCTGGCATTGAATATATATGGCCTAATTGATGTATGTATACAAATCCTGAAAGAGCTACCAGAAGTAGAAGTCCAATTGACAACTAGAAGTAGTCAATTAGTTCGAAGTTATACCACAAATTTGAGTTTGTATGTGGTTGGTGTATTAAGAAGATATCACTGTTGTTTATTATGTAAGTGTATTGATATTACTATCTTACATATATATTTAAATTATATATTCATATATAGAATATCATGTATTATGATATATATTAATTTTATATTTAAATAATTGTTACAGTATCACCTGAGCAGACGACAGCAGTGTTTGATTTATTGTGTAAAGTAGTGAAGCATGTTTCAAATCCAAGCGATTGTAGCTCGGCCGAACGATGCGTATTAGCGCATTTATATGATTTATATTCGACATGTTCTCTTCTGAAAACGAAGTCACACGGAGTGGAAGCATTTAGTAACGCTTATCCGAAAATTCGCGCTGCTCTTTATAGTACATTGCAACCAACACCTTCGAGCCATGTTTATAATTCGCAATTTATGGTGGATGTCTTTACTAGTCCACGAAGAGGTGGAAAAATTGAGGCGCAATGGGCGAGACAATTAAATGAAACGCCAGCGAATCGTTATAGTTTCGTTTGTAATGCGATTGTTGCGGTCTGTAGCGAAACAGATAACGATAAACTCAATGACATCGCTATAACTTGTGCAGAACTAACTGCATGTTGCAATGCTCTCAATGCTGAATGGTTAGGAGTACTTATGGCACTTTGTTGTTCCTCCAATAGTTCTGCTTTTTATATCGATGTGTTAAATCAAGTTGATGTGCAAGATTTGAGTATACATAATTCTCTGGCTATATTTACATCAATTTTAATCGGTAAATTACAAGGATATTACATTTCGTGATTATTAAATATAAAGTGTTGTAATAGCACTTACAGAATACAAAGCATTTTATAATTCAGTGATTTATATTTACAGCAAGGCACTGTTTCTCTTTGGAAGATTTTGTTGTGCATATAGCATTACCATCATTGGTGAAAACTTGTAATGATGGTCGTGGCGACATCGATATTGAAGCAGAAGCAGGTGCACGTTTAACCTGTCATTTATTATTGAGACTCTTTAAAACTGTCGAATGTCCGCAACCGGCTTTATACTCAGTTAGCACAAGTCCTCATCCACTTCCAAGTGGAAATACAAGAGGTTACAGCATAAAATTAAGTTGCGATAGGCACTTACTAGCAGCTGCACACAATAATATAAGAGTAGGGCCTGTATTAGCAGTGCTCAAGGCTATATTAGTTGTAGGGGATGCCACAGCTACTAAGCAACCCCCGAAAAAGGTGGATATACCCCTAAGCCATTCCAGTAAAGGAGGTGGTCCAGCAAGCGTCGGAGTTGGAGTCGGTGTAAGCAGTAGTGGACCCAGCGAATTATCAATCAGCCACATTTTAGGAACTAGTGATATCTTAGGCGGTGGTGATGATCTCGGTCTCGATTTAGCTATGTCTTCGTCCAGCAGTAGCGCCGGTATGACAACAGAAAACGTTAAGGGATTTTCTGATTTTGCTCATCATGTTTTACGTCAGATCTGCAGTCAGGAATGGGTGTTAGAGAGATGTTTACAAAATCCGGAAGAACTTTGTCATCAAGATATGTTGCTAGACAATATGTTGATACCACGGCAAGCGCAAAAATTATTACATATGATTTGTTATCCTGAAACTCCTATCGAAGCTTTTATCGATCAGAAAACTCATATTACGAATATTTTGGAGAATTTGGAACAGTGGAGTCTGAGAATGTCGTGGCTGGATTTACAACTTATGTATAAACAATTCGCGCCAGGCTGTAACGATCTTTCGCAATGGTTGGATACAGTTGCAAAAGCTGCAATTGATGTTTTTCAATTAAATAATACTTTGAGTAGCAAACCTGATAAAAGATCCGGTTCTATATGGCTAGTTGCTCCGCTAGTTTCAAAGTTGCCGAGTGCGGTACAAGGCAGAGTTCTCAAAGTAGCAGGACAAGTATTAGAATCTGGTAATTGGTCGAAAACAGCTGGTCGCGAGAGAGGTAGATCCAAATCGCCTTCCTTATTTAATCATCAGCCATTTTTATCATTGGTATTAACATGTCTGAAAGGTCAAGATGATCAGAGAGAAGGCTTATTGACATCACTACATTCACAGCTTTCACAGTTTCTGAATACCAGTAAAGAGGAAAAACATATTGGCTCTGAAGATCCTAAGACCAGAGAAGTATTGCAAGATGCACTGCAATTAAGATTCAGTCTCGTTGGAGGTGTATTTGACACAATACAGAGAAATACGACTGCTACAACGGACTGGGCAATTTTATTAGTTCAATTGGTCAGCTATGGTGTTATAGATTTAAATAATAATGCGGAACTTTTCACAACCGTTATAGATATGCTAGCAACGTTAATCCACTCTACTCTAGTGTCAGATTCGCAGTCTGAAAAAGATGAAAATAAAAAGCATTATCAAAATTTAATGAAAAAATTGAAGAAAGAATTGGGTGATAGAAATTCTCCGAGCATTCGTTTTGTTAGACAACTTCTACCATTACCTAAGTTGGCTATGGAAGTCATCACGTGCGAACCGGTTGGTTGTTTGACTGATACTAAAGGCAATAAAATTGCTGGTTTTGATAGCATCGATAAAAAGCAGGTACATTTATTTCATTAATATCTTTAAAGAAAAATATTTCTTTTCATATTACATAAAAATATTTTTTTTTAAATATATTAATGTATTATATTTAAAATTAGGGATTGCAAGTATGCGATTCTCAAAGAGTATCAGCGTGGGAGCTCTTAGAAGGTCATAAAAATCCTGCACCGCTTTCTTGGGCTTGGTTCAGAGCTGTTCGGTTGGAACGTAAACCTCTTACATATCAAAACGCGCACAAATTATTGCGATATCATACACACAGTCAAATTCGTCAGGCTAGTCATTATCTGGATCCGCCACCATTACCACCGGAAGATCTAGAACCTGATAAGAAAGAATCGGAACCTGGTAAAGCTGATACTCCAATGAGTATTGATTCACCAGGACGAGTTGGTGGTAGCGTGGGTAACGTCGGAGTGGGCAATGCTAGCACTAATGGTAAAGGGAAAGCTATGAAAACTAAACGTAATAGTAGACGTGTGAAAGGTGCTGCTACACCCACAACACCCATATCACAGCAGATGCAGGTGAATTTAATTATATATGATAATTAAATGATAATGATAATGATATAGTACTATATAAAACATTATTAAATTTAATACTTTTTTTCTTTTATAACTAATAGCAACCACCATCTCAATTGCAACAAATGGCATTCGCCAATCAACAAGCCCCTGTTACACAACAACCCGGAATGTTTACTGGACAACCACCGCAACCTCAACAGCAATGGTATGGCAATCAACAGACTCATACACCTGCGCAACAGTATGGCTATGGACAACAGTTGCCGCCTGCGCCGGTCGGTGGCCCGCGTTATGAGAGACCGGGGATGAATAATCAATCCAAGCAAGCTCTATCCAATATGCTGCGCTTGCGATTACCGTCCACTCAATTCATGGGCTCGCAGCAGCAGCCACCGAATGCTACGCCAGTTGCCGGACCGGGCGCATTCCAAGGAATGCAGAGGCAACAGTTTATCAGACAACAATTGAGAGCGCAGCATGGAGCACCTGGCATAAATCCGCAACAGGGCATGTTTGCGGCACAGCAGCAACAACAGCAACAACAACAACAACAAGGAATATATGCTGGAATTCAACAAGGTATGTATAAAAAATATAATTTACAGGCTTATATGTTGCCTCAATAAATAGCATTTACTTTAAAGAAAATACAGTTATTAAAATGCGTTTAACAAATTAAATAAATACGACATATATTATGAAACATTATATAGTTGCAATTTTAGTTAATGGTATAAAAAATTCATCAACATAGTTTACGACTATTTTTCTTAATAGTTTAAAAATATTCTTTAACATAGTTTACGACAATTTTCCTTTACAGGTATGAATCAGAATTATGCAGGATATGGTGGACAGCAAATGATACAGCAACAGCAGCAGCAACAACAGCAGCAAACGCCACAGCAAACACAGCAGCAGCAGCAGCAACAGTTGCTCCAACAGCAGCAGCAACAACAGCAACAAGGCATTTTGAATCAACAACAAAATATGATGTTTAATCAACAACAACAAATGATGGCTCCACAGAGAGGACAAGAATATATGCCACAACAGAGAATGCAACCTGGTACTGCAAGACCGCCCTATTTACAGGTATATTCAAAAATACATTTATGATATTATTCGATGATTAATGTGATAAAAAATAACTAATTCATATATGATCCACTCGCTATTTATTTAGAATTTTTTTAATTGATAATGTAAAGAATGAGAGATATGTTATTACTCATTTAGGCGCCAAACGTAACAATGAATACAATGGGACCAATGGGTGGAGGTGTTCAGAATCAACCTGCTCCTCCTTACCGACAATCTGCTGGGAAACCAGGTGCAGTTGGGGTGACGGGGGTAGGAACGACAAATGTTAGCTTACAGCAAAATCAACAATTTCAGCAGGTACGCAAATTAAGACATCGTGCGATAGCAGCATAATATTTGTAAAAAATTTCACGAATTATTGTTGTTAATTGTTTTTATATATATAGCAACAAGCGATTAATCAACAACGCATAAGGCAACAGATGTTGGCCATGCAGCAACAGCAAGCACAGCAGCAACAGCAGCAGGCCGCTCAACAGCAGCAGCAACAACAAGGTGGTGCTGGTGGCCAACAACCAACTCCTCAACTTGTAACGCATTTGCAAAGGCACTTGAGTCAACCACCACAACATTCCTATCAGCATCAACCGCCACCTTATTGAAAATATAAAAGAAAAATTCTACTGATTGAAAATGTGCTAATAAGATATCAATGGAACTTATAAATAATTGAAATAGATTATTTTATTCCGGATTTCACGTTGCAAACTAAATGAATAAGCGATGCCTATAACAAAAGGTAAGGTCTAAAGAAATTCTTATCAGATTGGCTGCAGTCTTTTTTACTGGTCAATATTTTTTACATATTTGGTGTTGAGATGCTATTATGTTTCTTGATATAAAGAAATCATTAAATTACAAAATTTGTATCAAGGTAAATGTCACAATTATTTTTATTATTGGATATTTGACAATTATTGTGGTAGGTTTTATCACATAAAATAATTAATTGAGAAATTAAAGATAAAAATACATTCTATATAGAAATTTTTTTAGCACATATAAAAAATTATGTTTAAATGATTATTCGATATATTATATATTGACTTGATATACTTCTGTAATCAAAAAAATTATAAACAAAAATTTTAGAAAAGAAAACAGATTTTTTTCTTTATGCAAATTCTTGTAAAATATTATTATTACTATGTAAAATCAAAGCGTATTATGAAGCGTGAATGATAAGGTAACAAGTATTGTATAAGATCATGTGTATTATAACTTGTGTATCTCACAAAGTAGATTTATTGTTATTGTTATCTGATTATTTAAGTGCTACTTGTATATCATATTTTTTACATAGAATTGTATATTATAACATTAATTATATATATACTAATAATAAAAACAAATGTATTTAACAAGAGTGCATTTAACACAAAGTCTCAGTAATAGAGTTGCTTAATAATTATTAGAATTCATAGACATAATTATAATCGCATATAAATTAGTATTCCTATTATTATTATTTAAAAGCAAATTTCATTCATTATTATTATTTAATAGCAAAGAATTTTTCCATTATAATAAAATCCTTTCGGAAATATCTTTGTTACTCGATAATGTTTGGAAAAAAGTACAATTAGATCTAAATAATCCAAATGTTATTATGGTAATTAAAATAAGTACGCACATACACAACGATATTTAAAACATTTAATACAGAGAGATAAAAAAACACGCAAGAAAAGTTGCGCTATTTTTTAATATTTGCATCTAATTGAAATTTCTAATATTCCAATAACTTATTGAAATAAGTGGAACATAACCTACAATTATTATACTCGTGCTCGAGAATCGATTATGACGACACTCGACTGTGATTGGTCCGCTGCTTCGATCGATCCTATCGAGAGAAATCCTCCGATTCTCGAAAGTTGAAGAACAGTCAGTAAAATTCCGCCGTGCCAGTAAAATCGTACTCGTATCGCTCCGAATATTTCTCGCGATTATTCCTGTCGAAAGGTGAATTTCGCGCGCGGTTCTTTGTCGGCAGTACTTTGAAGTTAAGTGAATATAAGTACAATTCATAATACACGCCGATATCGCCAATTTTGGAAGCATTGGCAATCACCTTTTGTGCACCCGTATTCGAGGAAAGATACCTTGTGTATTTCGCGTTATTTTCTCGCCGAAGCTGGACGCATCACCGTCAGCTAGGTATGCAATCATTATCGTACGCTAACATCGCGATTCGAATATCGCCGATTTGTCTTTTTATGCTCGATTAATATATTAATATATATCGGTTATATATATATATATATATATATATATATATATATATATATATATATCGGTTATAATTTTCTGAAAAAAGATTCGTCTACGAAATTCATGATTTTAAATATATATTTCTATATGAAAATTAAGAAAATTAGCGTTCAATATAATTATAAGTGTGTTCGGCATAAGTGTCTCAAAGTGTTTGATTGATCGATTGGAACAAAAAAATTTTGTTCCTTTCTGATCGATCAATTAGACACTTTGAAATATTTATAATATCAATTCAAACTGGTTCAAACGCGTCCAATGTGTCATGGTATATGTAACAAATAATAGAAGTGCAAATAATGGGCAATACGGAGATCACTAGAAAAAAGTCACTAGAATCATTATGCCATCTTTCTAATATTCACTTCTAATAAGCGTATCTATGTTATTTACAGGCTGGAGATTACATCGATTGTGCAACTCTCAACTGCGATTGGTCCGCTGCTTCGATCGAGAAATGCATATCTGTTCTTTAGAGCTGAACTGTCTGCACTGGACTGCACTAGTGACTAGATTATCCTCTTTCTACATTGGCAGGAAAGAGATAACTTCTGAACTAGTGCAACCCAGTGCAATTAGTTCAGTTATAAAGAACAGATCTTGCGATTCTCGAAGTACAGTCGGGGCGCGTCGCGAAAATTCGTATCGTATCGTATTCGTGTCGTACGGATATTTTTCGGGATTATTAGTGTCGAAAAGTGAATAGTCGTGATTCACACGCGATTTATTGTTGAGAGTGTGTCAAAGTTCCTCGTATATGCGAATACGTTGTGTATAATCCTTATAATATGTGCCGATATCGAGTTTAAAAATTCGGCAATGGTGCTTCGTGTGCTCGAGGAAGGACCTCCCCCATCCATTTCATATCAGTTTCTCATCGGAGTAATTCCTCGAGATAAAGATGTAATTGGCGGGCAATTGTCAGGTACTTATATCATCGTTTTTACGTTTATTATTACACATAAATATAATCATTGCTCGGAATTTATTGTCTCTTGCAGTTCGCTTTTTCATCTTATGCGCTTATACTTGAGAATAGCAATGTTATAAATATTGGCATAAATTTATTTCTCGATTCCTCTTCGATATATGTTGTGTATTCATGTATTAACATTCGGTTCCCCAATTTCGGATCAGTTAATATAGTCTATCTATCTAGTATTTGCGCCATTGCTATTCTTAATATTTGGCTTTACGATGAAGGAACTAATCGTAAGAGAAGGTAATATCTCGAGCAGGCTAAATTTATCATGATACATGATCATCATCGTGATGTTATTGACAATCGGTCATAAAGATTTTTCAATTATTTCCTACATTATAGTTGATAACTGAGAGAATTGATGGTAATACTAATTTTGAAATAGAAATTATCGATTGTGCATGTTTTATCGATAACTATCAAATTGTTCTTTACCTCATCATGAGAGATGGAGATAACATTAACTTTTTACACGAAATTATTTAAGTCTTTTTTTGTTGGATAATTAATTTAATTTTGTCATTATAAATGAACCGAGATTTTAATTACTGCAAAAATCATGTATTATTGATTATTATTTTATGCATATGTATATTATTTCATTTTATTAAAATAAAATTATTGCATATACGTATGTATTTAAAAGTTGTAAATAATAATAATTGCAGGACATTATTATTTATACAATTTATAATGTCTATAAATTTAAATGCATCATATATATTATTCTTATTTTATATTGAATTAATTATAAAAATATCCATTAAAAACAGAATCTGTTTTTAATTATTTATTAATAAAATTTTAAAAAATAATATTTTATAGTGCAGAAAATTGTGTAATATTAAAAATTAAAATATAAGTTGCTTTAATAGTTTATTATGAAACATAGTAAATGAAAGACAAAAATTACTAAAACATTTTTTTATAATTTATCCAACAAGCTTTACTAATAATAAGTTTAATGATGAAAGTATTTTTCAAATTTACTTAGATCGACATCGAAATTAATATATTAAAATTTAACTTATTTTAAATATAAATTATTATAATTGCATTGTGTAAAATTTATTGTAAATTTTTTTTTATATTAATTGATTTAATATTTAAGCAATGATTTCTTTTTTTTTGTAAAAAATTAATAAAATTAAAATAGTCATACAAATAAAAAATCTAGTTTTGAAAGACTCTTATTCTTATAATCTGAATATCTTTAACTTATTGAATATATTTAACATGTTATTGTGCTTTTGGCATACGAAGAGAAAACAACACATAAAAATATCATATTTAAAGTTTATCCATGTGCCATAATCTTTCCAATAACTTTCCAATAACTGCTTGATAAGCATTGTACAACTTTATGTAAATATATCACAATCATATAAAAGGATGCGGTTTGGAATCTATTAAATTATAAAAGATATTTTTCGCAATTTCCAATATTCTCAATATTTTACGTATCGAACGAAAATCAGACCTTTAAGAAAGATGAATTTAATTGTAAATCAGAATGTCTTTGTTTTATCGTGCTCACTACTTATGAAACTCACTACGCGAAATAAGCGCGAGCCTTTATGCCAAAAATCGCAAGCGGCAATCTCGTAAATGCGATTGGCCGTTGATGCCAACCCGACCTAGTATCTGATTAGAGTTGAGCTCGTAGCTCTCATCCCAAGTTTCTGCGGACGCTTCGGAAATCGCAGACTAAATCGCAGAGCACGAAACATCGCGGGCGAATTTGGAGCCTGCTTGCGAAACTTGATAAGCCAGCGCAATATTTTTCCTAGATGCATCTAGAATGCGTATGACTTGGAATCCTATTTCTGCCTCGGCGCTCCGATTTTTATATTTCGTACGATGGAATATGACTCGGCAAAATATATTTGATATGCTATTTAATAGGTCTGCTGTCTTCAATTCTACATTTCGTACTTTATTTTATTATTCATTCTAGTAATGTCAAGTCTATTTCTTTAAAAAAGTATTTAATATAGTATTTAATATAGTTGATATTAATAGAAAATTAATAATAAAATAAACTATGAAACAAATGCAAAATAATAACTAAATCCGAATATTAATAAGATTGCTCCAAAACTGGGGATAAATATAAATTAAAATTATATTTCTCTCCTTCTTTCTCTCTTTTTTTTCTTTTTATCGATATTTTTTGAATATAACGGTAGAATATCACAGGATACATTATTTGTTGTAATTAACATTAACAAGATAATAAAATGAAAAATTTGGTGCGCACGTGTAAAAAATTAGATTTATTTATTTCAATTAATATTGTATCTTGATTTTATCAAGTTATATCTAAAATTAATCAATATCAAAGTTACTCGTTTATTTCTGATATTCTTTTTTTTCTTTTATTTTTTTATCAAAGTTATAATAATTATATGTAATCAATACGTATAATATTAAACATAAATTTACAAAACTTTATTTTTTATATATAAGGTGACTCTTTAATTGATATCTAGCTGTGATAACGAACAAATTAATTTATTATAGCACGTTAATTTATTATAGCATTTGCTAATATACTGAAATTGTTGAATAATTGAAATTGAGATATATATGTTGTGAATCTTGAAACAACTCGACTAAACTACTGTTCTTCGCGGTTACGTGCGACATTTTCCGACATTTCTCTCGAGTGCTCGCTTCTGTCGCGGCA